GGAATTTGGGAGCAGAGACCCCCAGAGCGGGGGCCGGACCCCTCCCACGCCGGGAGGGGACATGGGAGGGGACAAGGTCCCTGACCCAGCGGGAGCCACCAAGGGACTGTCACCCCGGGCGAGCTCAGCCCGCAGCTCCCGGGGCTCCTTCCCGGCTCCCTCATTTCCCGGCGCGAGCGGAGCTGATTTATGGCACTTTGACACTATTTTAAGCGTGCGCCTCCGTTTGCCGCTCGCCCTGGTTTTAATTACCTCGGCTCTCGCGGCAGGGCAGCGTTCCCGGGGCACAGGCCTGGCCCTTGTTATCCTTGGAAAACCGGGAGCGCGCTTGCGGCCGCGGCCGGGGCCGGCATAAAAATAGGCGCAAAAACCACGGAAAAAAAAATTAAAAAAAAAAAAGAAAGAAAGGGGGGCAAGGGGAGGAACACCCTAAAAAAAAACCCAAACAACCAAACAAAAAAGCCAAAGTGGAAATGCCCAAAAGTGGGTGAAGAGATGAATTAACAAAAAAACAAATTAAAATAAAGGGAATGCCGGGGGTGCTGGGGGTGAGGGACAGCGCGACACCCCGGCCCAGCCTGCGCAGCTGAAAGCCATGAGGGTATAAAAGCAGAGGAAGTCACCCGGGCAGGGGGGAGGCCACAGCATAATTCGATTAAAAGGCCATAAAGGCAGAAGGAGCTGAGATTGGGGGTGGGGGGAGGCCCTGCCACCAGCACAACCCCACGGCAGCCCCTGGAGAAGCCCCTTTGGGGGGACGCTGGGCTGGGGGTGACGGGGTGGCCTCAGCTCTGCGGGGGGAAACTGAGGCACGGGGGACGGGGAGGGAGTGGTGGGGGTGCCGGGACTGGGGGTGCTGCTGGGTGCCCCAGTGGGGCTGACACCCCCTTTGGGCTGACACCCCCTTTGGGCTGACACCCCCATTGGGCTGACACCCCCTTTGGGCTGACACCCCCGTTGGGCTGACACCCCCATGGGGCTGACACCCCGGTACAGCCACCCCCAGTGCTGCCCCCCAGGACGGGTCAGCCGTGGCACACGGGGCCCCTCGGAGCCTTCAAGCCCCGTTCCCCTTTTCCGCAGGCTGCTGAGCGCCATGGCCGCGAGCCCCCGCTGACATCGACCCCGCACCTCGGGGTGCCCCCGCTGACATCGACCCCGCACCTCGGGGTGCCCCCGCTGACATCGACCCCGCACCTCGGGGTGCCCCCGCTGCCATCGCCCCCCGCGCCTCGGGGTGCCCCCGCTGCCATCGCCCCCCGCGCCTCGGGGTGCCCCCGCCGCCGCCGCACCCATGGGTGACTCCTACGCCGCCGCCTTCCCCAGCGCCCCGGGGCTGCTGTCGCCGTCCGCCAGCCCCCAGGCCTCCCCCGGCCCCTACGGCCCCGACTACGGCCCCTTCGGCCACCCCTTCCCCGCGCCCTCGGGCGCCCAGGAGGTGCTGGGGGCCCCGGTGGTCGTGGCCACCAAGGGCCACCCCGCGGGCGAGTGCCTGCCGGGCGTGTACCCCTCGCTGGAGATGCCGCACCCCTACGGCTCCTGGTACAAGGGCGGCATCGGCGGGGGGCTGCCGGGGGGCTCCGGGCCCGCCGCGCCGTCCTGGTGGGACGTGCACCCCAACGGGGGCTGGCTGGGGGGGCCGGGGGGCGCCGAGGGGCTGCAGGGCTCTCTGCAGGCCCAGCCCGCCCTCAGCCCCCCTCTGCCGGCCTACGGCTCCGATTTCGGCGCTCTGAACCCCCCTCCTTACAGCGGCGCCCCCGCCGCGCCCCCCGGCACCCCGAAAGGCGCTCCGGGCTCGCCCCCGAAGGGTCCCCGCGGCGGCTCCCTGGGGGCGCGCCCGGCCTGCGACTGCCCCAACTGCCAGGAGCTGGAGCGGCTGGGGGGCGCGGGGGCGGCGCGGCGCAAGGCGGTGCACAGCTGCCACATCCCGGGCTGCGGGAAGGTGTACGGCAAAGCCTCGCACCTGAAGGCGCACCTGCGCTGGCACACGGGCGAGAGGCCCTTCGTGTGCAACTGGCTCTTCTGCGGGAAGCGCTTCACCCGCTCCGACGAGCTGGAGCGCCACGTCCGCACCCACACGCGCGAGAAGAAGTTCACCTGCCTGCTCTGCAGCAAGCGCTTCACCCGCAGCGACCACCTCAGCAAGCACCAGAAGACCCACGGCGAGCCCGGGCCCCCCAAGCCGCCCCCCGGCCCCGAGCAGCCCCCCGCGTCCCCCCGGCCGCCGCCCGCCTCGGCCGAGCCCGCCAAGGACGGCGGCAGCCCCGAGGCCGGCACTTTGCTGGAGATTTGAGCCTTCCTTCATCCTCCTCCTCCTCCTCCGCGCCGCTGGGGATATTTATTGTGGGGTGCTGCTCCCCCCCAAGCCCCTCGCCCTCATTCCCCAGCTCCTCGTTAGCCGTTCTAATTTATGTCTTAAATTTAAATTATGGGGGGGATCTCCGAGCGCTCTGGGGCTCACGGGGGGTGTCAAGGTGAGACCCCCCCCCCGCCCTTTCTGTTTTCCCTCCCACCTCCCCCAAACCCTCTCGCCCCCCGGCCCCGCCTCGCCCCCGCACTCAGGGACAGGGTTTGCCCCCTCCCCAGCCTGGGTCATGTAACGTGTCCCCCCCTCTTTTTTTAGCTGCCTGCCCCCCCTGCCCCCCGAAAAAAGCAATAAAAGGATGGAGAGTGGAGCCAGGCCCCCCTTCTGCGGCTTCATCACAGGGACACGCTGGGAAACTGAGGCACGGGGGGACACGGGGGGGACATGGGGCTGCTCAGGGTCACTGTGTCCCCCCTCTGAGGGGGTGGCAGGAGCTGAGCGAGGTTTGGGACAAGCTGGGCTGTGCCCTTGTCCTCTGCCCCTGGGGTGCCATGTCCTGTGTCTGTCCCCTTCCTCAGGACCCCACATCCCCCAGGATCCTGTCCCCACGGCTCCGTGTCCCCAAACCCCGTCCCCCGTGTCTCCCTGGTGCCACATCCCTCTGTCCCCGTGTCCCTCCTCGTGTCCCCAACCTCAGGGACAGCCAAACCCCGTCCCCCGTGTCTCCCTGGTGCCACGTCCCTCTGTCCCCGTGTCCCTCCTCATGTCCCCAACCTCAGGGACAGCCAAAGCCCGACTTGGGGCTTGGGGCCCTGACAGGACTGTCCCCCGCCAGCCCCACCCTGCCCACGCGTGTCCCACGCGTGTCCCCGCTCCCAGGGACATCCTGTGCTCGGGAGCACGCGTGTGCACGGCCCCGTGCCTCAGTTTCCCCGGCCACGTCCCAGGGCCCACGTGGCAGCCGCGGGCACGCGGCGGGGCCACGTGTCCCCGAGGACACCCCAATTTTGGGCGCTGTGGGCTGGCGGGGACCCCGCTGCGCTCGCCTCCCCCTGGCCTGGGCTCCCGCCAGCCCTTTGATGTGCTCAGCCCTGGTTTGGGGCTTTTCCTGAAAAAAAACCCAAAAAGCCACGGAAAAAGGCAACAGGAGGCGGAAACGAGCTCCAGTGCCAGCACGGAGAGGGGGGGAGCTGCCAGCGGCCACGGCCCCACGGGGGGACAGGGACAGGGACACTGGGGACAGGGACAGGGACAGGGACGGGGACAGTGAAGGGGACAGGGACGGGGACAGGGAAGGGGACAGGGACAGGGATGGGGACATTGGGGACAGGGATAGGGACAGGGATGGGACAGGGACAGGGATGGCAGCAGGGCCCGAGCCAGCCCCCGCTGAGCCACGGTGGCCACGACCCCGCTGTCCCCAGGGAAAGGGGGACACAGGGTGGGGAAACTGAGGCACAGAGGCTCAATGGAGCGGCCGGAGCTCAGTGCCACCACACAGAGGTGACAGAGCTGTCCCCAGGGTGGCTCCCGGGGGGAATTCAGAGTGGCAGTGCCACCTCTCGGCGCAGCTCGCCCTCCCCGACACAAACTCGCCGATTTCGGGGTTTTTCCCCCAGAACTGCCGCCGCTCGCCGTGGGTGGGCCGGTGCCAAGCAGGGCAAGGAGCCACGTCCCCGAGCCAAACCCCGGCCCGGCGGCCACCGAGGGCTCGACCGCCCGGAGCCTCCCAAACCACAGAGCCCAACCCCATCCAGCGCCCCACCGGGGACCCCCCCGCCTTGTCCCGGCTCGCCGCCCCACCGGCCGGTTGGGGGGTCCGCGGGACGCCACGCCAGCCCTGCGGTGGCTCTGATGTCGGCGCCATCGCAAATCGGCGTCTCCTATCGAGCCCCGCTCGCTCCGTAACGGGTGAGGAATGTGGGCCCCGCCGCAGCTCCCCCCGCCGCCTTTATTTAATATCCCGAGAAAATTCAAATAACTCCTGCGGCCGCTAAGGAAAACACCGAATAAACACGAGAAAAGCGGCAGCCCCGGCAGAGCGGCTGGGGCCGAGCCAAGGGGGGGCAGCGGCGGCACCCGGGGGACGCGGCGACAACGGACACGGGCACCCGCAGGAGGGGACACCGGGGGAGGCGGCACCGGCGGCACCGGAGCGCAGGACACCGGGCGTGCGGGCCCGGGGGTGCCCGCGGGACAGCGGGGTGCGGGACACGGGGGTGCCCGCGGGGATCGGGGCTGCCCCGGGGGTCCCGGTCGGGGTCCCGGTCGGGGTCCCGGTGCCGGTGCCGGTGCCGGTCCCGGTGCAGCCCGGCCCGCACACCACACACGCCCTCACCCCGCCCCTCACGGGAGGCTCCGCCTCTCTTAAAGGGGCAACGTCAGAAAAGAGTGGCCCTCACGTTAATCAGTCCTCGTTAAAACCGGAGGGCCGCTAAGTCACCGGCGGAGCGCGTCGGTGCAGGGGACGCTGACGCTGGCTCTCCGCCGCGGAGGAACACCGGGGAGCGTGGCGCTGTCCCTCAGTGAGGGCTCCTCGTGTTTCCGCCGCGAGCCGCGGCCCTTTTAATTCCCCTCCCGCGCGCGGCGGCGATTGGCGCGAGCGGGGAGCGGGAACGGTGAGGGCGGCCAAGATGGCGGCGCCGGGGGCGGGGGGCGGCTGAGGGGGAGCCGGGACAGACCGGGGGGCTGTGAGGGGTGCCGGGGGCACCGGGGGCTGTGAGCGGCTCCGGCCTGCAGCCGGCGCATCCCGGGGGCAGCGGAGGTTTCAGCGGTCGCCCCCCGCGCCGGGCTCGCCCTCAGCCCCGGCGCCGCCGGCCATGTGTTCCCTGGGCTTGTTCCCGCCGCCGCCGCCCCCGGGGGATGTCACCCTGTACGAGCTCAACAACGCCCTGGTCTGCGGCCGCCTCAGCGAGCAGCTCCCGCTGCCCTTCCAGAGCCAGGTGAGCCCCGGCCAGGGGGGCTCAGGGGAGCTGAGGGATGCTCAGGGAGCTCAGGGGGGTTCAGGGGAGCTCAGGGGGGTTCAGGGGTGTTGAGGGGAGCTCAGGGGGGTTCAGGGGTCTCAGGGGGGTTCAGGGGTCTCAGGGGGGCTGTGTGTGCCGCAGGTTCCCGAGCTGCCCGTGCTGAGCCTGCCCAAGGAGCCTCTCAAGGCTCACGGCCGCCTGGAGCCCAGCGCCCGCCCGCCCTTCATCCACCACCGCGAGTCCCTCTGGAAGCGCTGCCTCAGCGCCTGGTGAGAGTCCTGCTGTCCCCACACAGCCAGAGCTGTCCCCACACAGCCAAAGGTGTCCCCACACAGCCAGAGCTGTCCCCACACAGCCAGAGCTGTCCCCACACAGCCAAACGTGTCCCCACACAGCCAGAGCTGTCCCCACACAGCCAGAGCTGTCCCCACACAGCCAAACGTGTCCCCACACAGCCAGAGCTGTCCCCACACAGCCAGAGCTGTCCCCACACAGCCAGAGCTGTCCCCACATAGCCAGACCTGTCCCCACACAGCCAAAGGTGTCCCCACACAGCCAGAGCTGTCCCCACACAGCCAAACATGTCCCCACGCAGCCAGAGCTGTCCCCACACAGCCAAATGTGTCCCCACACAGCCAAATGTGTCCCCACACAGCCAGACCTGTCCCCACACAGCCAAATGTGTCCCCACACAGCCAGACCTGTCCCCACACAGCCAATCGTGTCCCCACACAACAAAATGTGTCCCCACACAGCCAAAGGTGTCCCCACACAGCCAAACGTGTCCCCAGGCAGCCAAACGTGTCCCCACACAGCCAAAGGTGTCCCCACACAGCCAAACCTGTCCCCACGCAGCCAAACGTGTCCCCACACAGCCAAACATGTCCCTACACAGCCAGAGCTGTCCCCAGAGCGGGCAGGGCCGGGCAGTGACCCCCAAACCTGTCCCCAGAGGGGCAGGGCGGGTGCTGACCCCCCAGACCTGTCCTCAGAGCAGGCAGGGCTGGGTCCTGACCCCCAAACCTGTCCCCACAGCGGGCAGTGACCCCCAAAGCTGTCCCCAGAGGGGCAGGGCTGGGCAGTGACCCCCAGACCTGTCCCCAGAGGGGCAGAGCGGGTGCTGACCCCCAGACCTGTCCCCAGAGCGGGCAGGGCTGGGCAGTGACCCCCAGAGGGGCAGGGCTGGGCAGTGACCCCCAAAGCTGTCCCCAGAGCGGGCAGGGCTGGGTGCTGACCCCCAAACCTGTCCCCAGAGCGGGCAGTGACCCCCAGAGCTGTCCCCAGAGGGGCAGGGCGGGCACTGACCGCGCTCTCACTGCAGGCGTGACGCCGGGCTCTGCGGGCTGCTCAGGGAGCTGGCGGGCGCCGAGGAGGAGGGTGAGTCTGGGCTGCCCCGAGCTCCGGGCGTGTCGGGGGTGCTCCAGCCGGGCCCTGCTGTCCCTGCATGGCTGGGGATGCTCCGGCCGGGCCCTGCTGCCCCTGCCTGTGTCCCCGGTGGCCTGGCGGGGACGCTGAGGTCCTTTGCCCGGCAGGGCTGCGGTGGCTGCGGACGGGCTCGAGCCACGCGCTGGCCGTGTGCCGCTGGCTGTCCTCGCTGCACGGATCCCTGTTCCCTCACCTGTCCGTGAGTCCTTCCCGACCCCACTGCCGTGGGAGCCATGGCAAGGGGAGCCGTGATTTGGGGTGGGGGGGTCCCTTCCCCATGAAAGCACCCCCAAAGTGCTCCGAGAGGGGCCCGAGTGCAGCTGGGGACAGGGAGAAGGGGCTGCAAACTGGGGGTCCGTGCTGCCAGCTCAGCGTTCTCCTCTCCCTGCAGCTGACCAGTGAGGACATGATCACAGCCTTCTCCCAGGCCGTGGACTGGTGAGTCCTGGTGTCCCAAAATCACCCTGCCGGGGTCTGGGACCCCCCCCAGTGGGTGTACAAGGACAGGAGGGCCCCGTTTGGGTGGGCTCAGCCATCAAAGGCAAATATTGCCCCACTGACTCTGTGTGCCCTGGTAGGAGGGAGAGCAGGGTTAAAGCAGATCCGAATCAGAATTGGAAAATTCCTTCCAATTCCAACCCCAGGCTGTGGTTACCAGCCCCTCTGCAGAGCCCTGTGAATAATTCCCAGAAACGGGATTTCTCAAAGAAAATGGTCCCGTTGAGCAGCAGAAAGGAAGTTTTATTTCTCTGGGGACTCTGAGAGGGGTCTTTGCCAGCCCAGGGGGTGCTGGAGGGGTCTCACCCTGCCCTGTGCCCCCTCCAGGGCCGGCTGCACCATCCGGGCCTTCGCCTGGCACCCCCACACCAACAAATTCGCTGTGGCTCTTCTGGACGATTCCATCCGCGTCTACAACTCCAGCAGGTGGGGCTTTGTTTGTCCCGGGATCGGGCAGCCCGGGGCGGGCACTGCCCTCTGCCCGTGGCCTCCTCGCCCACCTGGGCACACCTGGGCTCCCGTTCAGCCCGCCCTGCTCCTTCCCTGCTCTCCCCCAAGCCTCAAGAGCTTTGCCTGTCCTCTCCCTGCCAGCCCCGTACCTCTGGGGACATCCTGGGGGTGACGCAGCCCTGGGGGGCGGTGACAGAGCCGGGGGGACACGGGCTGAGTGTCCTCTGTCCCCCAGGTCTCCCTGCTCCCCCAGGGAATGCCAGTCCCTGCTCAGGAGAAGACTCAGCCGGCTGCTCCTGCAGCCCCCCCAGGTGTCCCCAGGCTGGGACTTCTGGCCAGCCAGGGCCCTGTCCGGACCGGGGACACCTCGGCCCAGTCACACCAGGTGTGCCCCGGCTCGCGCCGGTGTCACCTGGCTGCAATTCCCGTCCCCTCCCCGTAAGCGCGCGGCAGGGCCCCCCGCTCCCACCCTGCTGTCCCCGCTCTGCAGCCAGGGCTGGCCCGGTGTCACCTGTCCCGGTGTCACCTGTCCCTCCCCGGCAGTGCCACCGTGCCCTCGCTGAAGCACCGCCTGCAGCGGAACGTGGCCGCCATGGCCTGGAAGCCGCTCTGCGCCTCCATCCTGGCCGTGGCCTGCCAGAGCTGCGTCCTCGTGTGGCACCTGGACCCCACCTCCCTCTCCACCAGGTGACAGCTCCCATTGTCCCTTCCTGCCCGCGCTCACCCTGCTGTGGGGCGGCAGTGGGCGGCTGTGGGGTGGCTGTGGGGTGGCTGTGGGGTGGCTGTGGGTGGCTGTGGGTGGCTGTGGGCGGCCGTGGGCGGCAGTGGGGTGGCTGAGGGGCAGCAGTGGGGCGGCAGTGGGGCGGCTGTGGGGTGGCAGTGGGGCGGCTGTGGGGTGGCAGTGGGGCGGCAGCGCCATCCCACCGGTCCCACACCCCGCCGGCCCCTCGCTGTCCTTGCGCAGGCCCTCGTCGGGCTGTGCCCAGGTGCTGTCCTACCCCGGGCACGGCCCTGTCACCAGCCTGGCCTGGGCGCCCAGTGGGGAGCGGCTGCTCTCGGCGTCACCCGTGGACACGGCCATGCTGGTGAGACCCGCTGGGGACACCCCCGGGGCCACCAAGGGACGCCCCAGCGCTGACGCAGAGGCGGCTCTGGGATTGCACCCGAAATCTTCGCCCTAATCCCGCTGTCACCGTCGCCCTCCGTGTCCCCTGCAGGTGTGGGACGTGTCCACCGAGACCTGTGTGCAGCTGCAGTGGTTCGGGGGTGGCGGTGTCACCTACGTGGCCTGGTCCCCCGATGGCAGCAAGGTGCTGGCGGCCACCCCCTCGGCCGTGTTCCGGTGAGCTCCTCATCCCCTCCTCATCCTCACTCCAGAACGTCTGGATCCCAAATGTCCTCCCTGCTCCTGTTCCCATTGCGGGATTGGGGTTGGACGTGGTGGATTCCCAGAGCAGCAGGACTGGGGCAAATTCCCGGGAATTCTGCCCCTGAACTCCGTCTCCTGCAGGGTGTGGGAGGCCCAGATGTGGACCTGTGAGCGCTGGCCCACCATCAGGGGACGCTGCCAGGTAGGTGGGACATGCCCCTCCCAGGAACCATTTGGGCTGGAAAAGCCGCCTGGGAGCACTCAGGCCAGCCCTGGCACTGCCACGGCCACCACTGCCCCGTGTCCCCAAGTGCCACCTCCGCAGGGCTTTGAAATCCCTCCAGGGACGGGGACTCCACCCCTGCCCTGGGCAGCCAGCCCAGGAAATTGTGGAATTTTCCCTAATTGTGGGAATTTTCCCTGATTGTGAAAAATCTTCCCAATGTCCAACCTGAGCCTCTCCTGGCGCAGCCTGAGGCTGTGTCCTCCTGTCCCTTGGCTGTCCCCTCTGGAAAAGTCCCTCCTGAGCCTCCTTTTCTCCAGTCTGAGACACCCCAGACAGGGTGACAGGGGTGACACTGTCCCCCAGACAGGGTGACACGGGTGTCCCACAAACACGGGTGACACTGTCCCCCAGGCAGGGTGACACGGGTGACACGGGTGACACTGTCCCCCAGACAGGGTGACACGGGTGACACGGGTGACACTGTCCCCCAGACAGGGTGCTGGAGCCCCGATGGCAGCCGCCTGCTCTTCACGGTGCTGGGCGAGTCCGTCATCTACTCCTTGTCCTTCTCCGAGTACCGGGGTGAGTTTGTCCCCCCTGGAGCTTCCCAAGGGCTGGCAGAGGGTCCCCAAATGCCCCCACAGCTTTGGGGTGAGGAGTGGGACACACAGGGGAGTTCTGGGGTCTCCAAGCACGGAATCGCTGGGATTCAGGTTTTCCATCCTTCACGTTGCTCGTCACTCTCAGTCACAGCTGTTGGGTCTTGTGGGGGTTTCAGGGAGACTCTGGTGAGTCCAGAGCCAGCCTGGGGGTCCTGGAGAAGCTGTCCCCTGTCCTCCATCCATCCTGGACACCAGCACAGCTGCTGTGAGAAGGAATGCATTAATGATCCCAGGGGATTGATGGGTGGGCAATTCTCTCATTTCAGGGGAGATGCAGGGGCAGGTGGGAGGCTCCAAGACGGCCTCGATTGTGGCAGATCTGTCCGAGACCACCTTCGAGACCCTCTATGGGGAGGAGAGGTGGGTCTGGCGGGCACAGGGGGGACCCTGCCCCTCCTGGCAGCCACCCCTCGCTGCTGGGGACACCCGGGGGGGCTCTGCCCGCCAGTTTTGGGCACGTGTGCTGTTGCAGGATCGGAGGAGAGGTTCATTCCATGGTGTGGGACCCCACCGGGGAGAGGCTGGCGGTGATCATCAGAGGTCAGTCCTGCCCCAGGCTTGGCCTGGGAGTCCTGCTGCCTGCAGGGAGGGGGACACGGGGGACAAGGGAGAGCCTTCGTGTCCCCCACAGGACACCCCGAGTCCGTGGGCAGCCAGCCGGCCGTCGCCGTGTTCCGCACCCGCAACAGCCCCGTCTTCGAGCTCCTGCCCTGGTGCGTGGGGGCTCGGGGGGTTCGGGTGTGTTAGAGAGGTTTTGGGGGCTTTGGGTTCATTGGGATGGGTTTGGGTTTGTTAGAGAGGTTTTGGGGGGGTTTGGGTTCCTTGGGATGGGTTTGGGTTCATTGTAACGGGTTTGGGTTTGTTAGAGAGGTTTTGGGTTCATTGTAAGGGGTTTGGGTTTGTTAGAGCAGGTTTTGGGTTCATTGTAAGGGGTTTGGGTTTGTTAGAGCAGGTTTTGGGGGGTTTGGGTTTATTGGGGTGGGTTTGGGCTCATTGCAAGGGATTTTGGGTGGCTTTGAGTTCATTGGGATGGGTTTGGGTTGATTGGGTGAGTTTGGGTACATTGGGATGGGTTTGGGTACACTGAAGGGAGTTTTGGGTGGGTTTGGGTCCATTGAAGGGAGTTTTGGGTGGGTTTGGGTACATTGAAGGGAGTTTTGGGTGGGTTTGGGTTGACTGCAGCAGGTCTGGGATAGGTTTGGGTTCCCCGAGTCCCGTTAACTCCCAGGATGTGATGGGGAAGCGCTGCCCCGGTGCTGCTTCACCCTGAAATGTGCTTGGGCCACACGGAACCCTCCCCACCTCACCCCCTTGGCTTTGGCTTGTCCTTTCCCAGTGCATCCCCTCACACCCCAAACACCCCAGTTCCCTGGGAATGTGCTGTCTGCCCCTCAGACCCCAAACCCCCCAGTTCCCTGGGAATGTGCTGTTTTCCCCTCAGACCCCAAACCCCTCAATTCCCTGGGAATGTGCTGTTTCCCCAAACACCCCCAGTTCCCTGGGAATGTGCTGTCTGCCCCTCAGACCCCAAACCCCCCAGTTCCCTGGGAATGTGCTGTTTTCCCCAAACACCCCAATTCTCTGGGAATGTGCTGTTTCCCCAAACACCCCCAGTTCCCTGGGAATGTGATGTTTCCCAGGCCATAATCCTGGCTGTTCCCCCACCCCACAGCGGCTTCGTGCGGGGCGAGCGCGGTGCCCGGCCCCAGCTCATCTCCTTCCACCCCTGCTTCCCTCAGGGCGCCCTCCTGACCGTGGTGAGTCCCTCCCGGGGCATCCCCAGTCCCAGGGCGGCACTGGGGAGGGGGCTGGGATCAGGGTGAGCGAGGGGGGCTCCCAGGAGAGGAGGTTTAACCCCCCAAACCCGGACGTGGCGCTTGCCAACAAGGCCGGGGTGACGAGGCGCTGCCAGGCTGTGGGCTGGACTCCATCCCAGAGGGTTTTTTGGGTTTTTTTTCCCATTTCTGTGCTCTTCGGCCACTCAGCCCTGCCCCCCCCTGTCCCTGCAGTGCTGGTCCTCGGGGAGGATCTCCCACATCCCCTTCTTCTTCGTCAGCGCCCTGGAGCCGCGCGGCAGCCCCCGGCGCAGCCCCGCGCCCGTGCTGGGCAGTGTGCGGGAGCAGCCGCTCTTCTCCGAGCTCTGAGCAGCACCCCAGGGCCCCCCCATCCTCCAGGAGCCCCCACGCCTGCTCAGGGCCGCTCTTCTCCGAGCTCTGAGCAGCACCCCAGGGCCCCCCTCCCTCCAGGAGCCCCCACACCTGCTCAGGGCCGCTCTTCTCCGAGCTCTGAGCAGCACCCCAGGGCCCCCCTCCCTCCAGGAGCCCCCACGCCTGCTCAGGGGCTGCCACTGCCCATCCTGCCCCCATTAAAGGTGCATTTTCCCTCCCTCTCGTCTTCTTTCCTCAGCCCAATGGCACTGGAAGATTTTTTGGGGTGAATTGGGGAAGTCCTGTGGGTCTGGAGGGGTTCCAGAGTTGGTTTTTGGGGTCAGAAGGAGCTTGGAGTGAACTCACAGACCTGGGCCAGGTTGGGCCCATGGGCCAGAGCTGCTCTTTTGGGATCAAAGAGCCCCGTTTTGGGGAAAGGGGATGGCTGAAGGGGTTTTGGGGGTTTTTGGCCACACACACAGCCCCTAAGCTTTGCTTTGAGGGTGAGCAAAAGTGAACCAAAAACCCCAAAGTGAACCAAAGCCTCTGTGGGTCCCCAGCCCCCAGCCCTGGGTCCCCAGGGTGCTGGTGCTGGCCCCAGGTGACCCCCCAGCCCCACAGGAGGGGGGCAGCAGCTGGGCCCCCCCAGAGGGGGATTAGCACCGTGAAATCCCGAGATTACACAGCCTTAATCCCAGGATTACCCTGCACTGGGAGGGAGGATGGGGAGAGCACGGGGTCCCTGCTCCCCCACCCCAACACCCCCAGGACCCCCAGAATCCTCCCCAGAGCAAGGGGGAAACTCCCTCTTCCCCCACGCCCACGGCATCCTGCCTGTCCCGAGGCTGGGCAGGGGGATCCAGGAGGATCTGGGAGGATCCAGGAGTATCCAGGAGGATCTGGAGTGATCCAGGAGGATCTGGAGTGATCCAGGAGGATCCAGTGGGATCTGGGGTGAGCCAGGAGGATCCAGGGGGATCTTGGGTGATCCAGGGGGGTCTGGGGTGATCCAGGGGGACCTGGGAGGATCCAAGGGGGGGATCTGGGGTGATCCAGGAGGATCCGGGGGGGGTCTGGGGTGATCCAGGGCTGACCGGGGCTCCAAACCCACCGCAGTGCTGAGGAAATCCCGGGGTGGTTTCACCCCTCGGGCCTGCCCGGTTGGCCCCCGGTGCTGAGCGGCTCTTCCTCCTCCTCCTCCTCCTCCTCCTCCCGTGGCCGTGTCTCCCGGCGGCTCCGGCGCACGAAGCGGCGCACGGCGAGCAGGACGAGCCCCGACCACCCGCCCAGGGCCACCAGGGCCGCCACATCGGGGGCCCGTGCTGTCCCCGCGCCCCTGCCCAGCGTCGCGTTCTGGCCGCCGGGTGGGACCGGCGGGGCCTCCCCGGGGCACCGGGAACCGGCCCGGGGCTGCGGGGGCAGCAACAGCGGCAGCAACAGCAGCCCGGCTGCCCGCATGGCTCCGCGCTGCGCCGGGACCCCCCCGCGGGGCTGGTGACAGCCCTGGTGACACCCGGTGCTGGTGACACTCAGTGCTGGTGACACTCGGTGTTGGTGACACCTCTGGTGACACGCGGTGCTGGTGGCAGCGGTGCTGGTGACACCCCTGGTGACACTCGGTGCTGGTGACACGCAGTATCGCGGTTGCTGTCCCCGCGTTGTGTGGGGATCGCTCCCCGAGTCACAGCGACCCCCCAGTGTCGCACGCAGCCCCCCCAGACCCCTCAACAGCAAAGCCACTGGGCCCACACTGGTTTTTACTGGTGCTGGGACAGGGCAGGAACAGGGTCAAACTCCCAGGAAATGGAGCCCAAACGTCTCTGGCTGGGCTGGCACCCATCCGGCACGGGGGTGGGTGCTCTGAGACCCCCGGGAGGGGCTGTCCCCCCCCAGCACAGCAGATCCCTCGGAGATCCGGGATCCGAGCGGGAACGGTCCCTGCACGTCCCCGGGACCCCAAACTGGGGTCGGGGTTCCCGCTGGGGAGGGGGCTCATGTGCTCCCGGTGCCCCCCCCGAGCTCCAGCGCCCTCCGGGCCATCTGCAGGGCCCCCTCCCGGGTCCGGTGCCCCCCGATGAAGCCGCTGGCGTGGACGAAGACGCAGCCGGGGATCCCGGCCAGCTCGGACAGCGCCTCGTCCCGCAGCCCCCGCCAGGCCTCGGGCAGGGGGAGCCTGTGGGGGACACAGGGCTTGAGAGAGACCCCAGCCCGGGGAGCCTGTGGGGGACACAGGGCTCGAGAGCCACCCCAGCCCGGGGAGCCTGTGGGGGACACAGGGCTTGAGAGAGACCCCAGCCCAGGGAGCCTGTGGGGGACACAGGGCTTGAGAGAGACCCCAGCCCGGGGGGGACACAGGGCTCGAGAGAGACCCCAGCCCGGGGAGCCTGTGGGGGACACAGGGCTTGAGAGCGACCCCAGCCCGGGGAGCCTGTGGGGGACACAGGGCTCGAGAGAGACCCCAGCGCAGGGAGCCTGTGGGGGACACAGGGCTCGAGAGCCACCCCAGCCCGGGGGGGACACAGGGCTTGAGAGCCACCCCAGCGCAGGGCGGGGCGTGGCACGGCCAGGGGAGGGGTCTCACCGGCTCTGGAAGCTGTGGGGGGCTGTGGGGACGCTCTGCACCCGCCACTGCCCGCCCCGGTCCGGGAACAGCACGAGCTGCAGCGGCCGGGGCAGCGCCAGCTCCCGCTCCAGCTGGAAGACGTGCTCCTGCCAGGGACAGCCGCCCTGGGGCAGCTCCAGGACCTGCCCGCTGGCGTCCACCTGCGGGGGGACACGCTGGGGACACGCTGGGGACACGGGGGGGACCCCCGAAACCCCCCCGGGCTCCGTGCCCCGAAAGCTCGGAGTGCCCTCCCACAGGGGTGCAGGATGTGGGGTACCAAGGACCCCCCAGGAGGTTTCTACCCAAGGGATTTGACCTCCCCACACCCCAATTCTGCCCCAAATTGCAGATTTGCCCCGGGCCGGCTCGGTGGTACCTCGAGGCGGTGCCGGACGGCCTCTTCCACCAGCGCCCGCGCCGGCAGCCAGGCCCGGTGGTAGAAGTCCAGCCGCTCCAGGAACTCGCTGCCCACCAGCTCCATGGCCCTCCTGAAGCCCGCCTGGGGACACGGGGGTCAGCAGCGACCCCGGGGAGGGCGTCCCCGAGCAGGGTGTCCCTGGGCAGGGTGTCCCTGGGCAGGATGTCCCTGGGCAGGATGTCCCCAAGCCGGGTGTCCCCATCCCCGAGCAACGTGTCCCTGGGCAGGAGGTCCCCAAGCAGGGTGTCCCAGAGCAGGATGTCCCTGTCCCCGAGCAGGACGTCCCTGGGCAGGAGGTCCCCCAGCAGGATGTCCCTGTCCCCCAGCAAGGTGTCCCTGGGCAGGGTGTCCCAGAGCAGGATGTCCCTGTCCCCCAGCAGGGTGTCCCCAAGCCGGGTGTCCCCACCCCCGAGCAGGACATCCCTGTGCAGGAGGTCCCCAGGAGCCATGGGGGCTGTCCCCACCTCGGTGTCCTGGTCGGGGTCGTTCCAGCGGGGGTTCAGGTGCCCCACGCGGGCGCTCAGGGTGGTGCTCAGGGCGTAGCGCGGCTCCCCCGCCGCCGGCGCGATCCCGTTGTCCATGGCATCGATCTCCTCCACAAAGTTCTCGTACAGCTGGGGACAGCCAGGGGACAGACAGGGGACAGCAGGGGGACATGAGCAGCAGGGGGGGGACAGCAAGGGGACAGCCAGGGGGACATGAGCGGCAGGGAGGGGACAGCGAGGGGACAGCAGGGGGACATGAGCGGCAGGGAGGGGACAGCGAGGGGACAGAGGAGGGGGAGCAGCAGGAACAGAGAGGACAGCAAGGGGACAGCAGAGCAGAGCCTGGCTGGAAGCACAACTGGCCCCAGCAGCTGCCACAAACTCTCCCCTTTCTCCACTGAAACGTGGATGAAAATTAAACTTTGTAATTCTAATAGAGATTTGTAGGGAATGGGTATGTTCATTTATAGTGTTGGACGTATGTGGGGACTTATTGTTCTTTAATGGACATACGTACCTCTGAGAATTTTTGATTTTTTAAAAATAATTTTTACTAATTTCTATATGCATAGAATTTTATAATATGTTCGTTCATATTTATTCTGCTGATTTTGCGTTACATTTATAGTTAGTTACACTTGTAGTTAGTTTTTGTTAGAAAGCACAGAAAGAATTCTTGGGTCACTCTGCCCTGTCCGTTTTAAGGTCTGAGGAGTCTTTTTTAGTTCTTATTTTTTAGTGTGGAAATTCGTATTTTTTTTCTTCAGCTGGGATAGTTTTGTTAGTGTTGTAGTGACTAGACTAAACAGGATATTTTACTGACATTAGTAAGCTTAAATTAGTGTATTTTACTTAAATTTAAATAGATTTTTGCTCTGTTGAATTTTCGCTCTGTCTCACCACCGAGGACGAGCCCCGGCAGGTGCCACAGCCCCGGTGGCCGCTGTCACCTTGTCAAAGAGCGCCGTGACCACGGGCCCGTGCTCGGGCTGCCCCAGGAGCGCGGCGAGGATCTGCGGCCCGAAGTGGCCGTACACGAGCCCGGCGCTGCTCAGCTTCGTGCTCCAGGGCTTGTCCGGCCGCAGGCTGCGCATGGACTCCGCGAAGGACCTGCGGGGCCGCGCGGTCACCGGGCACCGGGGCACCGGGGGCACCGGGGGCACCGGGGCACCGGGCTGGGGGGGGTCTCACCTCTGGTGGTGGTCGTAGCGGTGCCGCCCCGGGTCGTACTCGCCCCCCACGTCCACCAGCACGTCACAGGCGGCCAAGAGCTGCGGGTCCCGCGTCCGCACGATCTCCGCGTCCTGCGGGACAACCGGGGACCCCCCGGGACCGGCTCCGGGTGACGAGGGACACCGGGAAGGGACACCAGGGAGGGGTGGGGGAGATACGGGTGACCCCCAGGTGGCACCGGGAACCCCGAGGAAGGACTGGGGACACAAGGGTGACCCCCCGGTGACACCGGGGACCCCGAGGAAGGACTGGGGACACAAGGGTGACCCCCAGATGGCACCGGGGACCCCGAGGAAGGACTGGGGACACAAGGGTGACCCCCCGGTGGCACCGGGGACCCCGAGGAAGGACTGGGGACACAAGGGTGACCCCCCGGTGACACCGGGGACCCCGAGGAAGGACTGGGGACGCAAGGGTGACCCCCAGGTGGCACCGGGGACCCCGAGTGGGCTCAAGCGTCCCCACATGGGACAGAGAGAGGAGCGACCCGGAGGAAGACCCCGGGAGCCGGCAGCGCACGGTGCCCCCGTCCCGCTGATGGCCCGGGCGGGACCCCGAACCGGGCGCGCTGCCGGTGCCGTACCCGGTAGCGGGGCAGGAGGCGCAGCAGGAAACACGCCAGCGCCTCGTCGCAGTGGAAGGTGCCGTCGTGGGTGCCGATGCGGGCGGCGGGCTCGGGGTGCGGCCGCTTGTGCGCGGGGCCGGTGCCGGTGGCGGTTCCGGTGGCGGCCATGGCCCCGAGACGGGCGGCGCGCGCCGCCCCGCGCATGGCGGCACCGAGGCCACGCCCACCCTGGGCACGCCCACCCGGGCCACGCCCACCCCCGCCAGCGCTTCCCGCCAAATTTCTCCCGCGCCTGCCCGGGTTCGGCCCCGCCCCCCGCGCGGATGCACATGCGCGGAGCGGGGAGGGGCGGGAGCGGCGCGCGCCCTCTGGCGGCCGGGACCGGGGCAGACGGACGGGGACACGGGACAGGGACACGCGGACACCCGGGACAGGGACACGGACACGCGGGACAGGGACGCGGACACCCGGGACAGGGACACGGGACAGGGACACGGACACCTGGGACAGACACACGGGACAGGGACACGGGACAGGGACACGGGACAGGGACACACGGACACCCGGGACAGGGACACGGACACCCGGGACAGGGACACGGGACAGGGACACGGACACCCGGGACAGACACACGGCCCTGCACAGGCCCCGGGGAGCCGGGGGTGGCCAGAGCCCCAGGGATGGACACTCGGGCACGGCCGGATGGACACACGAGCCCGGCACTCGGTTGATTTGCCCAAGCAGGAGTTTATTGGCCCGAGCCGGGGACCCGCCGGACACTGGGGACCCGCCGGACCCTGGGGACCCGCCGGACACTGGGGACCTCTGACCATTGCTGATGGCTGCGGGGGCTGGGATGACTCTTCCCAGGGGTCTGGGGCCCCCCAGCTCCCAAATCCCCCTTCCAGGGCTTGCTCCGGGTGGGAACAAGGACCTGGAGCCACCCCCAGAACGCGGCAGGGGGGGAAGCCAAGCTGGAATTGGGGGTCCTGCCAGGGGGTCTCAGGAGTCATCGCCCCATCCCGCGGAGGGGTCCAGCTCCAAAGTGGGGGCGTCTCCTGGGGACACCCCTGCTCCCCCTGCCCAGGGAGTGCAAACAAAGCTCGTCCTGCTCTTCCTTTGAGGGGCGAGGACATTTCCCCTCTCGGGCCCTTCTCGGCTGCCTCTGGCTCGCCCCAGTCCGGCGGCAGCAGCACCGGGACGTGCTGGGGCTGCGGGGCCCCACCCGTGGCACCTCCTGGCCGCGGTTCGGGGTGTCTGAGCCCACGGGCGCTGTGGGATTTCGGGGCGGGGGTGGGGGGAGCAGAGCACGGCACCCACAGCCCCATCCCCGGCGTTCCCCTTCCCAGGACAAAGACAGAACGGCCCCGGGGGATCGCAGCCCCGGCCCGGGCTCGGCGCTCCCGGCGCCGCCTCCTCCGTCCTCCCGCGGCTCTCGGCGCCGCTCAGGCGATGTCGTTACCGAACACCTCGAGCAGCAGCGGCGTGAGCTGCATGCTGTGCTCGGGCTGGAAGGACAGGCAGCGGTACTGCCGCGAGTGCTCCTCGTTCAGGCTGCGCAGGTCCGCCAGCTTCTGGATCATCTTGGCGTAGAGCAGGCGGCCGCCGGGCGCGGCGTGCCGGGCGCGGATGTAGCTCTGCAGCACCTCCGAGAGCCGCTCCTGCAGCGCCTCCACCCGCAGCGGCTCCCGCACGCCGGGCCGGTCTGCGGGCAGCGGCGGGGCTCAGCGGGGCCGCTGCTGCTGCGGGGGGCTGGGGGGTTCCCTCCCTTTTGGGGCTTTGGGGGGGATTCCCTCCCTTTGGTGGCTTTTGGGGGTTTGGGGAGATTCCATCCCTTTTGTGGCTTTTGGGGTTTGGGGGGATTCCCTCCCTTCTGTGGCTTTTTGGGGTTTGGGGAGATTCCCTCCCTCTCATCCCTTCTTAGGATCTAGGGTGATTCCCTCCCCTTGGTGGCTTTTGGGGGTTTGGGGGGATTCCCTCCCTTTTGTGGCTTTTTGGGGTTTGGGGGGATTCCCTCCCTTGGTGGCTTTTTGGGGTTTGGGGGGATTCCCTCACTTTCATCCCTTTTTAGGATCTAGGGTGATTCCCTCCCTTTCATTCCTTTTTAAAATTTGGGGGGAATTCCCTCCCTTTCAGCCCTTTTTAGCATTTGGGTTGATTCTCTTCCCTTTTGTCCCTTTTTAGAGTTTAGGGTGATTTCTTCCCTTTTGTGGCTTTTTGGGTTCTGGGGGGATTCCCTCCCTTTCACCCCTTTTTAGGGCCAGCTGTACTGTGGGGTTTCAGGGTTTGGGGTGGGTTTGTCCCTACCTGGGGACAGGATGCAGATGGCCATGAGCAGCACGTGCTCCTCCTCGTGCAGGTTCAGCTTCTTCAGCCCCACCTGGAATTTCACCAGCGGCTCCAGCAGGTCCATGCTGTGCCCGGCTGTGGAGAGAGCGGACCCTCAGGGGGGTTCTTTTCCTCTGAAAGGGGATTTTTTCCCTCTGAAAGGGGATTTTTTCCCTCTGAAAGGGGATATTTTTTCCTTCTGGAAGGGGATTTTTTTTCCTTCTGGAAGGGGATTTTTTCAGACATGTTGGGGTGGCACTGGGGCCATTGAGGAGGTGGCACTGGAGACACTGAAGTGACACTGCAGACCTTGAAGCACCACTTGTCACCCCCCAAACCCCCAAAATCTGGGACAGGACCCACCCTCATTCTCAGCACACAGCCAGGTGCAGAGAGAAGGCCCAAGAGGGGAGAGTCAGGGGATTTTGGGGTTCGGGGCTGACACTCCCTTACCTTGGGTGACATCGCTGACCCTGTACTTGAAGTCGCTGCTGCCACAGGTCCAGGACATGTCCTCGAGGGTGAAGGACTCGTTGGAGCGCAGCATGATCACCTCCATGGCGCTGCACTTGAGCAGCACGATCTGGTCCTCCACTGACAGGTCCCTGCAGGAGGATTTGCCCTCAGGATTTGCCCTCGGGATTTGTCCTCGGGGTGCTCAGGAGGGACAGAGGGGACACGGGAGGAGCTGCCACCCCCGGGGCGCTCACCGGGCCCTCAGCCGAGACTCCCTCCCCAGGAATTCCCGTCCCAGGGTTTCTTTCAGGTACATTTCTGCCCCAAATCTCGGAATGAGCAGAACCTGTGGCCCCTCCCCAGATGCTCTGGGTGTCTCCCTGGCGGAATCCATGTGTGTTTTCCAGGGAATTGGGAATAGAGGAGAACCCCGGGGAGGGGGAGAGAAAGCAGCAGAGCTGGGAAGGGAGCAGAGCTGAGGAAGGGCTGGGAAGGGGAAGAGGGAAGGGCAGGAAGGGCAGCACGGGATCCCCGGGAGAAGGAAACCCGAATTTGGGATCCGAGGGCTCACCTGAAGCCTGGGATCATCTTGGCGAAGCCGATCACCTTCTGGATGCTGTAGCTGACCAGGTCGGCCAGGTGCGGGAGCATGGAGAGCTGCGAGAACTCCGCGTTGACGGAGGAGCTCTCGTCCCGCTCCTCGGGCAGCGCCAGCCCCGGGAACGGCGGCGGCTCCGCGGGCTCTGCCGGGGAAACGCTCTGAGGGCGCCGCCGGGCTTGGCACCAGCGAGCCCCACAGGAGATGGGAAAGGCTCTGGAACGGGCAGCCCACGGGGCGTTGGGATTCGGGGCCGGTTTGGGATCTGGTCTGGGAGTGTGGGAGATGTGGGAATCCAGGAATTCCCTCTGGCTGCCCTGGCAGGGGTCAGGAACCCCCTGGACAGAGCCCCCAGAGACACTGGCTGTGATCTCTGCCCATGGAAAAGAGTTTTCAATCTTACAGGATGAATTACCAGCTCTGAGGGTTTGATATGAGTAATAATTAAGTGTGGCACGGGTGCAAAAGTAAAATTTTAGGATTCTAGATTAGGGGTCCAAAGGGGACAAGATGGAGGAAATTGGGTGTGCCTTGTCCTTTTTCTCCTTCTTCATGCCCTCCATGTTTCACTGTGGTGTTGGCATTTTTCTGTTGGTTCAGGCTGGGGACACACTGTCCAACGTAGGTGACAGATATTGGCACGTTATTGTAAATCCAGCACAGGTAGTTTGTGGTATTTAATGTTTGTACCATCCCACTGAGGGCAGAGCCCCACACGCTGCCCTGCAGGACAGAGCTGCGGCAGGGCAGCAGAACATGTTAGAGATAAACAGAATAAACAACCTTGAAACCAGCACAGACCAATTATGGCTTCTGCTTTGGCAGCGGGGCTGACAGACAGAGACTTTCTACAATCTTGGGATCATCAACACCTCAGATTCCGACATGGGATGAGGAGGAAGAAGAGCAGGGCAGACCCTCGTACTGGGGTTAGTTTGGGTTCTGGCACAACCCTTCCCCACCCCTGGAATTTGGGATGGTTTGAGACATCCCCTCCAGCCCAAGCAGAGTCCTGGGGCCCCTCCCTGGTTCCCAATCCCAGTTTGGGGCCAGAAGGAATTGGGGCACACCTGGGAATGTGCTGAAGGCCTCGGAGCTGAAGAGATCCGAGGAATCCTCCGAGGACAGGTCCTGGGTGAGGAGGGACGAGGATTTTGTGGCCCCTCTGCTGCTGGGGTGGCTCCTCACGGGGGGCTGGGGGAGAAAACAGAGAAAACTCCTTGAGGAGTGGGGCAGGCAGAGGGGTTTGTGGATTTCACAGGAAGAATTTGAGAGATAAAAGATTTTTGGGGTCAGTACCCGAAATTTGGTGAAGTCAGCATAGGTGGGGTCGTAGGTTTTGCGATGGGCCTCGAGCAGGATGTCGATGACTTTCTGCTGCTCCTCCGAGAGTTTGGGTTTGAGGCTTTCCCTCAGGGCTTCCTCCTCCTTCCTCTTCAGGATCATCTCCCTCTTCCTCTGCACCTCCTCGTCCGTGAGGATGACTGGGAAAGAAAAAGGGGTGGAATTAGGGATTGGAACGACCCCTGGATGCCGCACCCAGCCCCTGGACACCACACCCAGCCCCTGGAAAATCGCCTTTGCCACCTAAAAATCGCTTTTTCCCCCTGCAGCACCTCAGCCCTGGTTTCCTGCTGTGCCCAGGAGGTTTCTGGTGCTTTGGGGGCACCGAGGCCGTGCCAGCCGTGCCAGCTCTGCTCCCTCCCTGTTTGCTTGGCGCTCCCAAATCCCCAAACCCTTGGGGCTGCCGGGTTCACCCGGCTCCTCTCGGCTCCCAGCTGCCACCAGGGGTGTCCAGCGCTGCTCCGGGGCAGCTTTAATCTGATTTTTAAGGTCAAGGCACAGCCAAACCTCCCCCGCCCTCAGGGTTGGGGATTTATGGCTTTTATTGGGGTGGCGGCGCCCGGCAGCGGCCAAAGGTTGGGCTCCACGCGAGGCTGGGGCTGTTTGTTTAGGGAAAAGGAGCAGCCGGGGGCAGTTTGGGCTCAAATCTTCACTTTTTTATCAACCACTGCGAGCCCTGAGCGGCCCCAGAGGGGCTGGGAGGGAGCAAAGCCACGGGAATGTCTGGGTGGGACAGAGCCCCCTCGGAGCAGGAATTCCCTTCCCTCAGCCCTTTTTCCAGCACTGGACACCCCCGGGAGCTGCTCCTGAATTCCCGGGTAATTCCTGGGTGCAGGGACCCAGTCCTGGGGGAGTCAAGGTGGAATTCAGGGCGGGAGGAGCTCCAGGCAAGGAGGGCCGAGGGCGATTTTCCGTTCTCCATTTTCCATTCTCCATTATTTTCCATTCTCCGGCCTTGCACAACCTCCCAGGGGCCGAAAGGTCGCTCCCACCTCCACCTGCCTGGGGAGGAAAATCAGGATTTTGCCACTTCCCCACCCTTGTTTTTAATACAAAAACATCGGGTGCACACGGGCACCGCCTGCTCTGGGTCGCCCATCCCTGGTGCTGCACGAGGAGCTGTTAAAAAATCAGTGGAAAAGGATTTTTTTAAGGGTTCTTAGGGGAGGATCCAAGGGAGCCCCAACATCCCTGAGGGATGGACGCCCAGGCAGCTGGAAAAAGGCAGGGAAGGGGTAATTCCACTTTTTCTGGCCAGATTTCCCAGGCAGTGAGGAGGGAACAGCCCTGGCCGAGACCTGCGCTCCCCAGAGCCACCCCAGGAGTGACAACAGAGAATTCCCAAACCCCCAGGGCCTGCAGGGCCTTTTCTCTGCCCTGTTTGTCCCCAGAAAACCACAAAGATTTGCCCGAGCTGGCTGGAAACGCCACGTGGTGACCTGGGCTGGCAGTGCCTGGGAGGGTTGGGGGTGACAGGAGCCCTGGGCTGGCCAAACCCGACCCCAAACCGGGGCTGGCAGCAGGGGGAACCCTAAAACCCCAAATTCCACAGGTGGGGAAGGGTCTGTCTGGCTCAGAGCCCGAATTCACCCCGGCACGAGGGTCTGCCCTGCTCCTCTTCCTCTTCTTCCTCCCCATCCCACACTCCCAGCCCTGAATCCCAATGCCCTGTGGAAAACAAGGCCTCAAAAACCTTCCCGATTCCCTCCTTCCACCTAAAAATAACCCCAACCCTTCGTCCTCCCTCGTTTTTCAGCAGCAAAGTCCATTTTTAGCTATTTTTAGCCTGTCTGGGTCAGTTTTGGTTAATGCAGCAGGATTTGCTAACGGGGCTGTTTATACGTTAACTCCTCTGGGGAAAACTTGGAGAAAACCTGGAGAAAAGCCTCTGGAATTACTGCCCAGGAACTTGCCAGCCCTTCCTAGGTAATTAATTGGTAATAAATTAAAGCACTTCCTTCATTAGGGGCTCCTCAAAAACCAGGGACAGCTCCCCAAAATCTGGGGACAGTCACCGTGGGGTGTGGCCTTTCCCTCCCTCAACCTGCCAATCCCAAAGAATAAAATCCAGGGATTCCCATCAGGATCATTGAAGATGTAAGTATTTTTTTTTCCCCAGCAAACACTCCAAATTCTGATTTTCTGAAGGCCCTGGGCTGACATCAGGCTCTGTTTGTGCCCTGTTTAGCACATCAAGAAAAGAGCTCTGCTTCCATATCCTAAATTTCCAAATTTCCAGCTCCGTGGACACCCTGGCCACAATCTCCCAGCAGAAAATGTTTGGTTGGAGCTCTCCAGGAGCACCCAGCTCCTCCCCAGCACCTCAAACACGTTTTATTTTTAAAAGCCACTTATCTCTAAATACACCCGGAGAAAACAAACATTTGGGCCACATTTGTGTGTTTGGACTGGGCTTAAAAACCGCTTTAATTCCCTCTGCTGTTGACTTAAGTCCCTGCTTTATCCCCCATGGAAAAAAGGGTCAGGAAAAAAAAAACCCAGGGGGAGAAGAGGAAAACCAAACCCGGCTCCGTGGGGATGGGGAAGCTCATCCAGCTCTCCCCGTGGAGCGTGGAAAATGCTGGAAAAGAGGATTTTTCAGAGCCATTGGGAGCCACGGAGCTGATTTTCCTCAAAAAAAAAAACACCAAAAAAAAAAAAACAAAAACAAAACAAAAAAAACCAAACAAATAAAACCCAAAAACCCCCAATAAAAACCAAAGAATCCCCAAAAAAACCCCACCCCCCCCCCAAAAAAAAAAAAAAAAAACAAACCAAAAAAACAGGAGAATCCATGAGAACACAACTTCTGAATGGGATGGAATCATTAATCCAGCTCCTCTCAATCATTACCCACTGCTTCCTCTGCCCTTTGCATCCCCCGGAGGGGCACCCCTGGCCCCGGGAGGTGGCAGGGACAGGGACAGGGACACGGCCCTGGGGAGGTGGCAGGGATGGGGACATGGGCACGGGAAGGTGGCAGGGACAGGGACATGGCCCCGGGGAGGTGGCAGGGACAGGGACATGCGGAGGTGGCACAGACAGGGACAGGGACACGGGGAGGTGGCACAGACAGGGATGGGAACACAGGGAGGTGACAGGGACGGGGACACGGGCACGGGGAGGTGGCAGGGATGGGGACATGGGGAGGTGACAGGGATGAGGACACGGCCCCAGGAGGTGACAGGGACGGGGACACGGCCCCAGGAGTGTCCCCAGCAGCTGGACACTCACACTCCTTCATCATGCCGATGTCCAGGCAGCGCTTGAGCCGGCAGGCCTGGCAGTGCCGCCGGTTGTCCTTGGTGATGTGGCAGTCCCCGCTGAAGGGACAGGTGAACATGGCCTTCCTCTTCATGCTCCTCCTGCAAAAGGGACAAAACCCTTTTTTGGGCTCAATTCCCGCTGTTTTGGCTGGTTGGGAGCTCCGGGTGCTGCTGGAAAAGGAAAATTTCCCACAGGGAAACATCCCAGGGGTTCAGCCACGGGTTTATCCTGAAATGCTTCAGGGGAAGTGACCTTGAACCCAGCTTGGTTAAACCAGGCTGCTCTGAGCCCAGCCCAGCCCAGCCTGCTGGGTTTGAGAAGGTTTTTGGGTCTAAAAAGGGGTTTTTAAGGGTGGAAGCATTGCAGGATTGCAAAGAACCCCCCCGGCAGCAAAATAAAGCCGAGCTGGGGCGTGTGGTTTAAACCCAGCTGCCCTAAGCCTGGCTTTGCTGGCAGAACTGGCCCGAGCACATTTTGGGTGTGCAGGGAGAGGAATTCTCCCTGCAGGACACGGAGAAAGGAGCCCGAAAATGACAACCCTGAGCTGCAGCGAAACCAAAACCACAGCGCGGCCCGGGCGGAATGGGAACGTGGAGCCGCCGGGAGAAAGAGCCAGAGCCAAAATCACCCAGGGAAAAGGGTCAGGGCCTGCCAGGACAAAGGGTCAGAGCCAAAATCATCCAGGGAAAAGGGTCAGGGCCAAAATCATCCAGGGAAAAGGGTCAGGGCCAAAATCACCCAGGGAAAAGGGTCAGGGCCTGCCAGGACAAAGGGTCAGAGCCAAAATCATCCAGGGAAAAGGGTCAGGGCCTGCCAGGACAAAGGGTCAGAGCCAAAATCATCCAGGGAAAAGGGTCAGGGCCTGCCAGGACAAAGGGTCACAGCCAAAATCTTCCTGGGACAAAGGGTCAGAGCCAAAATCATCCAGGGAATAATGGCCAGAGCCAGAAATTCCAAGGAAAAAGGGTCAGAACCTTCCAGGACAAAAGGTCAGAACCAAAATCACCCAGGGAAAAGGGTCAGGGCCTGCCAGGACAAAGGGTCAGAGCCAAAATCACCCAGGGAAAAGGGTCAGGGCCTGCCAGGACAAAGGGTCAGAGCCAAAATCATCCAGGACAAAGGGTCACAGCCAAAATCACCCAGGGAAAAGGGTCAGGGCCTGCCAGGACAAAAGGTCAGAGCCAAAATCTTCCTGGGAATAATGGCCAGAGCCAGAAATTCCAAGGAAAAAGGGTCAGAACCCTCCAGGACAAAAGGTCAGAGCCAAAATCTTCCAGGACAAAGGGTCAAAGCCAGAAATTCCAAGGAAAAAAGGTCAGAACCTTCCAGGACAAAAGGTCAGAGCCAAAATCTTCCTGGGATAAAGGGTCAGGAAGATTTTGGCTATCCAAATTATTCCAAAGGGGCAAGGCCAGAAACTTCCAAGGAAAAATGATCAGAGTCTTGCCAGCACAAAGGGTCCGAGCCAGAATTTCCCAGGAGGAAGGTGGTAAATGGGATATTGGGAAGAAATTCCTCCCTGTGAGGCCATGGAATAGAATTCCCAGAAAAGCTGTGGCTGCACCATCCCTGGAGGCGCCCAAGGCAAATACTCAGATCAAAAATGGGTAAAAAAAAAATTAAATAGGGGTAAAATATGGGTTAAAAGATCAAATATGGGTAATAAAATAAAATATTTAGTAAACTATTTAAAAACAGGTAAAAGAATCAAAACCTGAGTAAAAATCTTCAAGATTTCCTCTGGCTGCAGCCCCAGGAATGAAAAGCTGCTTTTAGAAAGGGAGATGTAAACAAAGTGGCTGCACTCTGCCTTTTCCTGCCGGGAATTTGGGATTTTGGGGAATTCATCCCAGAAAAATGGATGGCAGGGCCCTGTTTTATCCCATTCCTCCAAAACCTCTGGAGTTTTGCTGTTCCCAATGGGGAAACACAATCCCAGCACTCGGAATTCAGCCCTGGACACCCCAAAATTCCCAATTTTGGTGCACAAAAAGCTTCTTTTTTCCACAAAAACCCAAGGAAAGGCCGGGAATGCACAAACAACAAGGCCTTGGAGCGGGGAAAAACATTCTCAGGGCTCAGGACAGGCCAAAATTCCAGGTTTGGAATGAAAATTGCAGCCTGGGTGGCTCCGGAGGCTCCCTGGGTGACACGGGAGCCGGGCTGGGCTGGAATTCCATGGAAACCTTCCCCAGCCACCCATTCCCAGGCGGATTTGGGATCCCAGGGGCTAAAAATAGAGAATTCCAAGGCTCATTCCCTGCCTGGGATGAGGGATTTGTGTGCTGGGAGCCGGGGAGGGCTCCAGGGCCGGGTGGGGATGGGGGGATGATTCCAAGGGTGACACAGGATTCCCAGAGGGAGCAGCAGAATTCCCTGGAAATATCAGATTTTGGGAAGAGCTGCTCCAGGAGATCCCCTGCCCTTCCTCATCCCTCAATCCCAGAGATTTTTTTAGATTTTAGTGCTTTTTGACTCGGGGAAAAAACCCCAATTTGTGACCCATGGAGAGTTTTCCCACACTCCCCCTTTTTCCTGGAGCACTGCAAGGCTCCCAGATCCATTAAAAACCCTGGAAAAATGGGGGGGAAAAACCATCCCACCAAAAAACAACAAAACAAAACAAAAAAAATCCATTATTTCCCCCGTTTAAACCACGGGAACGCGGCACCGCCCGGAATTCCAGGCCGGTTTCAGGATCCCGCTGGTTTCCCACTGGGATTCCCGTGTTTATTTTTGGGTTTTTGGGGTTTTTTTGGGATGGGGCATTCCCAGAGGTCCCGGCACACCTGAAGAAGCCCTTGCAGCCCTCGCAGGTCATGGCGTTGAAGTGGAAGCCGGTGGCCCGGTCCCCGCAGACCCCGCAGATCCTGGGGACGTTCCGCTCGGGATCCCCGGCGGGATCGGCCACAGAGGTGCTGGAAGCGCCCGGATCCATGGCTGGGAGAGGGAAAAAATGGGATTTGTCACCAAACTTCTGACTTTTCTTTTAATTCCACCTGATCTGGGGCAAAATCAGGCCTAAAATTATCCCTAAAATTCAGGATTTTCCCCTTTGATTCCTCCTGATTCGGGCAAGGAATTTTTATTCCCATTGGCTCCGGGCGATAAAACCACCCAAAAATTCCAATTTTTGGGATTCTGGAATGCTGGGAGAGCTCTGGGATTGGGAGAGGCTCAATTAAGGCCTCGCTAATGAGGCAAAACAACCCCAAGGCTCCTTAAAAATTCCTGGTGCCTCTGGAATATTTTCCTTTAAAAAAGGAGAAACAAAAGTGCTTTTTTCCCATTCCAACCCACCTATTCCCAAATTCCAGCTGTGCCTTTAAATCCATTAAATCCCATTAAACTCCCAATGGAATGATTCCCTCTGCTTGGGGGCTGTTTTCCAGGGATTGCTGAGGGGGATTTTGGGGTTTTCCCTGGAATTCCCTCAGACAGCATTCCCAGCTCTCCTCTCCCACCGTTCCCAGCCAAGGCCTGGATTTTCACCTTCATTCCTTCAATTCCTTTGGAATTTTGGGGTTTTTTTTGGATTTTCCCAGCTGGCCTCGGGGCTGGAGGATCCCTTCCCATGTTTGGTGAAGATCCCAGGGAATTGTGTCCCCAAACCCCCCAGGAGCTGCTGCACTGGGACATTCCAGATAAAGGAAAATCCATGGAAAAGCAGGAGAGGGAAGGGGTGAAAGTTTCCCAACGGAATCAGAGCAAAGAGCAGGGGCAGATCCAACGCCCTGGGAATTCCAGCTGGGAAAAACGAGCCTGGCAACCCCAGAGCTCCCAGCCCAGGAGGGAACTCTGGGATGAGGCATTTGGAATCCACAGATCCTGGTTTTCTCTCTGTCCCGTAAAAAATCGGGAATATTCCGGGTTAAACCCTCGGATTGCCATTCCCTGGGTTGCAAACACATCCCACTGCTCCTTCTAAATGGGAAAATCCAACTGAGCCGAGATTTTCCTGGGATTTCCCCCCACAAAAAAACCCCTCCAGCACCTCTGAGGTCATTCCATGGAGAAGCTTTCCCCCTTTTCCAAGGAAAAACTCAAAGAAATCCAGGAATGGGAATTTTTCCCACAGAATCTTCCCTGGTGTTCCCTGAACCCTTCCTGGATTTCCTCCTGCTGCCCCAAGTCTTTCCCTTTGCTCCTTTATTTCCTAATCCCTGATTCGATCCCAAACAAAATCCAGGGAAGGCCGGCAGGCAGAAGCTGCCCCTGCTTGTGGGAAATTCCAGAACTCCTCCGGAGCTTCTCCCTGGATTTCGAAATATTCCCAAACAGGTTCGTGCTCCGTCACCCTCCGCAGAGAGAAAACCACGCCGGGAAAACGCAATTCCCAGGAATTTTCAACAGGGATTAGGGTTTTTTTACCATCTCCAGCCTCCCTTGGGGCTTTTTTGCTGCAGAGGGAGGAAAATTCCAGTCAAATGCTCCCAAAATCTGTCCCAAAAGCAGAGGCTGGGAGAGGAAAAGGAATTTTGGGTGGGTCCCAGCCCCCTGTGCTGCTCAGAGACCCCACAAAGGTGTCCCGACACCAGACCAGGTGATGGGGAGGGTGACAAGGACGAGCTGGATCCCAAATCCTGGTTTTGCACACCCGTCTGGGCAAGCCAGGAGGAAAATTCCAACTGATCCCAGCACGTGACGGGGCCTGGCCCTGCCCTGCTCCTTCCCTGGCAATTCTCCTGCTGCTGGAGCTGCTCAGAAATTGAGGGAATTTCTGCTTTTCCCCTTCCCGGGAGGAGCTGCAGCATTCCCAGTCCAGCTGGAGCAGGAATTGCTCTTCCCAGCTGTTCCTGGGCTGCAAAAACACCCAAAAATGACTTTTTTTTTTTTTTTTTGTGTGTGTGTGTGCTGTGAGCAAAGCCCTGCCCTGGACCTGCTCCCCCTCCTCCAAAGATCCCAAATCCCCCTGGGATTCAGGAATCACATCCCTCCTCACCCTTTTCCATGGGCACAACCATTCCCAGACATTTTGTCCTCAGCCTCCCTGGCTGGAAACGCCACCCTGGGAGCAGCAGGAAGAGAATTTCTGAGGAATGAAACGGCCCCAAAATCCCAATTTTTGCATCCTGTCCCACGGGGGAGCAGGGTGGGACAGGGACCACCCTGGGCAGCAGCAGGACACAAATCCAGGGTTTTCCCATGGAATTCTTGGAGCGTCCCAGCCCCTCAGGAAGGGACTGCAGAGCCCAGGACTCCCTCAGGCACAGGAACTGCACCAGATGCCAGGAGGAAATGGGAAAAGACCACAAAATTCCAGAAAAACTGCACTGGGAAGGGCTCTCCCTATAGAAAAATTCCCAGAGCAGAGGTGGGAGGGCAGCATCAGCAGCACACTGTGGAATAAAATCCCTTTTTTGTGCTGGAAACAGCCCTGGGAAGGTGTGGAGCCACACAAGTGATTCCCAGCTGCGGCAATTCCCAGGAAATCTGGGATTTGCTGTCCCCTCCCGGGGCCATCCAGGTGAGCCCCAGCACAGGGGACACATCCTGGTCGAAAAACAGAGCTGGGCCTGGTCAGGCTGCCGAGCAGGGGATTTATGGAGATGTCCCAGGGATATTTGGGAGGAGAAATCGATTTTAGGGAGTTCTCTGGGGCAGCAGGGAGCCCAAATCCCCATCCCTTCCCTGGGATGTGCCTGGAGGAAAAGGGAATTTCACAGCATTGGGGCTGGAAAAGGAGCCTCCAGAGCCTCAGATCCCTGTCCAATCCTTTCCCTGGGATAAACCCTCTGGAAAAGGGAATTTCACAGCATTGGGGCTGGAAAAGGAGCCTCCAGAGGCCTCAGATCCCTGTCCATTCCTCTGGAAAAGGGAATTTCACGGCATTGGAGCTGGAAAAGGAGCCTCTAGAGGCCTCAGATCCCTGTCCATTCCTTTCCCTGGGATAGCCCCGCTGGAAAAGGGAATTCTCATTCCCCAGAACCCCGACTTGCCCAAGGAGGGAGGAGGAGGAGGAGTGGGAATGATGCAGCAGCCGGAGCTGTTGCAGCCTGGAATTGGGAAATTGGAGCAGCAGCCACGCCTGGGGCATGGAGAAGGTGGGAAAACCCTCAGGAAGCGGCTCAAGCTTTTCCAGAGAATAATTAGGAAGGCTCCATGTGCCAAAAAAATCCCCTTTTTGCACCCAGTTTGGCTCTGGGGAGCAGGAACACGCTCAGGAGCGGCTCCAGGAAAGGAAAATCCCTCCCCAGGAGGAGCCGGAGCAGCTCCTGGGAATGAGGAAACGCCTTTGGATGCCGGGATGAAAATTCCAGGTGTTGTTTTCCACCTTTTTCCGTTTATTAGTTGGGGGGGGGGAGAAAAAGGGCGAGGGTTGAGCTGATAAGGGCCGAGATAAGAGAAACGGGCCCGAGGAGGAGCTGAGTCAGCAGCGCCGGGGGTGGCACCGGTGACATCCTGGCAGTGCCACCCTCGGCGGGTTTTTGTTCCATTCATACTGTGGTTTAATCTTAATTTCCCTGGATTTTTGCTCCCCTGGCTTTCCTCGCATTTTCCCTGGATTTTTGCTCCTCTCGCCCCTCGCTTTCCCCATCATCTCCCTGAATTTATTTATTTTATTTTTCATTCCCAGAACCGTTTCCATTCCCATTCCTCTCCTTTTTAGGCTCCTACTTCCATCCCAGCCCACCTCCAGTCGGGATTTTCCCTCTCCCAATCCCTGACAATTCCAGAATTTCCCCTCAGGGAGCTCAGCCCAGGCTGGCTCTGCTTTGGCCTGGCCACAAGAAGTTAAAAATTATTCTCTGGAGCAGGATTAGCCATTAAATGGGGAAAAATCTCCCTGGATTTTCCATTTATTCCTCCCTAAACACAGCAGGATTCAGGGAAACAAACCTCAGCCACGACCCCGGGCGCGTTTTTATCTGGGAAAAATCTGATTTTTGGGATTTTTGTTATTTCTAGGACATCTCAGTCCTGATCTGGTCACACCCTGGAGATCTGGGGCAGACATCTCTTCATCATCCTCATCATCATCTGCATCATCATATCCCAGACTTTCCTTGCTCCGGGACTCCAGAGGGAACCCAATCTCACCCTGGAATTTCCACCCTTTATTTCACCCCATTTCCACAGGTCCAGCCCAGCACTGGGGCTTTTAAAACTTTATTTAATTTATTCACGCCACTTTTGCTCCCTTTGGTTTCCCCATATTTCCCTGGATTTCTCTCCACTCACCCTTGGGTTTAATCTTAATTTCTCTGGATTTTTTTCCCCCTTTACAGCCCGATTTCCCTGGATTTAATCTTAATATCCTGTGATTCTTGCAGCCTTGATTTCCCCATCACTTCCCTGGATTTTTCCTCCCTCTTCCCTGGATTTTCCCTCCCTCTTTCCCGGCTTTAAACCCCAATTTCCCCCGGATTTTTGCTCCGCTCACACCTCGCTTTGCCCATTATCTCCCCGGATTTTTGCTCCCTTTGGTTTTTCCGGATTTCTCCCGTTCCCGCCCGGTTTTAACCGCAATTTCCCGGGATTTTCGCGTCCCGCCGCGGCCGCGGCTCCTGCCCCGGGCCGGAGGAAGATGAGTCACGGGCGGTCCGGGGGAGGAGGAGACGCCGCAAAAAAACCTCACTTCTCCCGAAAACCTTTTTCCGAGAAAAACACTCAACTTTTCTCAAAGCTCAGCTTTGAAAAGGAGACGAAGGAGCGGCTCAAGCGCCTCTGCCAACCCCAAAATCTCTTTTGGGGTGCGCAGCGGAGGATCCCTCAATTCCTGCTGGATAAAATTCCCCTGTACCTTGATTTTCCTGGGGCAGGAACGGCTCGAGATCCTCCGAAATACGGGAAGGCGCTGAGGAATTAAGAAATAGGGCGATTAATGCCGCGCCGAGGGGCTCAGCCCCCCAAAAAACCCCAAAAAACCCGAATTGGGACCTTGAAGGTGGGTTTAAATGGGGCGCTCAAGCACGAGAGCAGCCAGAAACCCCAAAATCACCTTACAGGAAACCCCAAAATCACCTTACAGGAAACCCTGAAGTCACATCAGCACCCCCGGGGATTTCCCAGCTCCGAAGGCCCCCCAAAACGGGGGAGCCCCGGGGGGGACAGCGGAGCCGTTCCGGGATACCGGGACACCCCGGAACACCCCAAACCCCGGATTTTTGGGGTGCTCGGGGCCGGGACTGGAGAGCCTCGGAGCCCCCTAAAAGCAGGAGGCACCCCCAGCCCTAAGGGGGTCCTCATTGTGGGGGGCACGGGGAGTCTCACGGGGACCCCCGACCCCTCCCGGGGCACCGGGAGCCCCGAGAGCGCCAACCAGGAAGCACCGGGAGCCTCAGCGCCCGGCCCGGGGCTCCTGCCGGCGGGGACACCGGCGGGACCGGGAGCAGCCGGTGCTGGGCAGTGCCCCCGAACCCCCGAACCCCAACCCCGGAGCCCCCGCCGACAGCCGCCCCCGGTTCGCCCGCAGCGGTCACCCCCGAGTCCCGCGGAGCGCCGGAGTCACGGCAGGGGCGGCGGGCGCTGAGAAGGGCCGGGCATGGCTGGACCCGGTGATCTCTGTCCGGTACCTGAGCCCCGGTCCCGGTGCCCCCTGCCCGGTACCTCAGCCCCGGCCCCGGTGCCCCCTGCCCCGGTATCGGTCCCGGTGCCCCCTGGCCGGTATCTGAGCCCCGGTCCCGGTGTCCCCTGTCCCGGTATCTGAGCTCCGGCTCCAGTGTCCCCAGCCCCGGTGTCCGCGGTCCCGGTACCCGAGTCCCGGTATCCCCTGGCCGGTATCTAAACCCCGGCTCCGGTGTGTCCGGTCCCGGTACCTGAGCCCCGACCCCGCTGTCCCGAACCCCGGTGGCCCCAGACCCGGTGTCCCGAGGCCCGGTACCCCCTGCCCGGTGTCCCGAGCCCCGGTGTCGGTACCTGGGCCCCGACCCCGGTGTCCCGAGCCCCGGTGGCCCCAGCCCGGTGTCCCGAGCCCGGTGTCCCGAGCCCCGGTGTCGGTACCTGGGCCCCGACCCCGGTCTCCTGAGCCCCGGTCTCCTGAGCCCCGGTCTCCTGAGCCCCGGTACCCCCAGCCCGGTGTCCCGAGCCCCGGTGCCGGTACCTGGGCCCGACCCCGCCGCCGCCCCCGCCCCGCCCGCCGCCGCCTTTTGACGGGAACCGGCGCCCCGGCCCCGCCCCGCCAATGCCTGCGCGGCACCGCGGGGCCCCGCCCACTTTTACCATATAAGGGCAGAGAAGGGCGGGGCCACGGCGGAGGGGGCGTGGCGAGGCATTGCACGTGGCCCCGGTACCGCGGGGGCTTCCCCGGAGGGGCCGCTCGGGGTCCCGGGACCCGCGGACCCCGCTGACCGCCCGGGTTTCCGCTGACCATTCAGTGCCCACCCCGTTCCCGCTGACCGCCCGGTGCCCACCCGGGTTCCCGGTGCCCACTCGGGTTCCCGCTGACCGCCCGGTGCCCACTCGGGTTCCCGCTGACCGCCCGGTGCACCCGGGTTCCCGCTGATCATTCAGTGCCCACCCGGGTTCCCGCTGACCGCCCGGGTTCCCGCTGACCGCCCGGTGCCCACCCGGGTTCCCGCTGACCATTCAGTGCCCACCCGTGTTCCCGCTGACCATTCGGTGCCCACCCGGGTTCCCCCTGACCACCCGGGTTCCCGCTGACCGCCCGGTGCCCACCCCGTTCCCGCTGACCGCCCGGTGCTCCCCCGTTCCCGCTGACCACCGAGTGCCCCCCCGTTCCCGCTGACCACCGGGTGCCCACCCCGTTCCCGCTGACCGCCCGGTGCTCCCCCGTTCCCGCTGACCACCGGGTGCCCACCCGGCTTCCCGCTGACCACTCGGGTTCCCGCTGACCGCCCGGTGCCCACCCGGGTTCCCGCTGACCACCGGGTGCCCCCCCGTTCCCGCTGCCCGCCCCACGCCTCTCCCCCAGCCCGGAGCCCCCGGCAGGGCAGGGGACCCTCGGGGTGGCAGCGCCCGGCGCTCTGGGGGCTGCCAGCGCTGCCAGGGGCGCGGTGAGCTCGGGCAGCTCCAGTGAGTGCCCGGTGCTGGAGCGGCACCGAACAAACGGCACCAGTGCCAGAGTGCCACCCCGGCACTCCCGGTCCTTGCACCTCCCGGTGTCCCCGCAGAGCCCCGAGGCTGATCCGGGCCCGGGGACCCGCAGGACACCGGGATTTATCTGCTCCTGAAGGAACTGAGAGTATTTGGAGCAAGAACCGACTTTGGCCACCCCAAATCCTGTTATTGGTGACGCGGAATGTGCGATTTGGGGCAGAGCCAGCTCAGCCCAACCCAACCCAAAGATGCCCGGTTGCCTGGGCACGCCGCATCCCCGGTCTAAAAAATGGGGATATTCGCCAATTTTCCCCTTTCCATCCTCAATTCCCCAGCCGGGATGCAGCCACATGCAACAGCGAATAAAGCACGAGAGGCGCTCCCAGAAAAGCCCTGCAGCGGCTGCCGGGGTTTATCGGGTGTCCCCTAAACCCCAAATCCCGGGAGCAAACGAGCCCCCGCCGGAGCTGAGCCCCCGCAGCCGCGGGCACCGGGTTCAGCCGCCGCGCTTTGCGTGGGGAAAACGCTTCGAAATCGCCGTTAAATTGATTTAATGAGGCCGAGGAGGGGAAAACAACGTCTGGGAAGAAATGGGAGCTCATCAGAGGCAATTTCGCGGCGCGGAGGGATTTCGGGAGGGTGGGGAGCGGTGGAAGCCGCTCATCCCCATCCCAAAAGCATCTCCAGGTGCTTTTGGCATCGCAGCTCTTCCCGTGCCAATGTCCCAAAATCTCCCAGGGCTTTTCCCCCCTGACACGGCCCTGCACCAGAGCAGCGTGACGCATTTTCCATCCCAATTTTTACCTTCTTCCCGCCGGGAATTTGTGCCCCCCGAGCTCTGGGGAAATTCTGTGGCCGAGGAGGGTTTGTTGGAATTCCCTCCCTCTCTCCCGCTTTCCTGCTGCTTTGCTGCCCCCAACCCCCCCGGCACGAGGCTATGGGCCAAATCCCGCTCTGCTCCGCATCCCCGGGACCGGCGGCACCTGCGGGACTCGGGAGGGTTTCATCCCGAATTCCATCCCCGCCTGGAATTCCCAGAGCTGTGAGCGGGAATTCCCAGCCTGGAAAAGGGCTCGGCGGGGCCGGGAGAGGAGGAGGAGGAGGAGGAGGATGGCCCAGGGGGGTGCAGCGGCACGAACTGGGATCCCCACATCTCCATGGGGCGCTTTGGGCTCGGAAGGGACCTTAAGGACCGTCACCGCCACCCCCGGGATTGTCCCTGCGCGGGGCCCGGAGCCACCCGGGAGGGCGGCAGGGGTGGGATAAACGGGGCTGGGTGAGCTCCGAGGTCCCTCCCAAAAAATCCTGCGGTTCCACCATCCCCTTGCAGGGCTCAGAAATCCCTGGAAAAGAGGGGGAAAGCCCCACTCCGGTATTTCCCTGTCCTTGGAGCAGTTCCCTCATCCCGGAGCTCCTCCGGGGATGGCACCGGGCTCGCCCATCCCGGGAGAGCGGAGATTTCCCGGGAAGCGCTTCCACCATCCCGCCTGGTGCCTGGAAAAGCGCCTTTCCCCCCTTCCCCCCTTCCCGCTGGCTTTGGGGGCAGAAAAAATTTGGTTAAAAAAACCGGGATCCAACGCAGGACGCGACAGGAGCCGAGGGGAACTGCGGGAGGAATTTTCCCTTTCCCTTCTCTTTTTCCAGCCCTTCACGCCACAGCCCCCGGGAAGGCGCAGGAAGGAGCCGGGGAAGGAAGGAAGGAGAGCCGGGAATTCTCCCCCCGCCTGAAATTTCGCTCCTGGGAAGGACAGAAGAAATGATCCATAAAATTCCCATGGGATACGTGTCCCGCGTCGGGCAGGCGGTGCCTCTGGAGCTCACAAAATATTTTCAATTTGCCGTGAATTTTATTTTGATGGTTTGGGTGATTGGGAGAGGGAGGGATTTCGTTTTCCATCGGTTTTTCTCTCGGGTGTGGTGGGGAAAATTCCCACGGGAGGGAATTTATTGAAGGAAAATGGAGCGGCCGGGGCTGGGGGGAGGTGGGAGGGAATGGCCCGGGGGCATTTCCCCCCGAAATGCAGAGGTGCTGGAGGGGACGCTGGGCTGGGCCGGGACAGGCGGGCTCAGGAGGGCTCAGGAGGGCTCAGGACCGCTCCGTACCGGGACAGGAGGGCTCAGGAGGGCTCAGGACCGTTCCGGACCGGGACAGGCGGGCTCAGGCTGCTCGGGACCGTTCCGTACCGGGACAGGTGAGCTCGGACTGTTCCGGACCGGGACAGGCGGGCTCGGACTCCTCGGGACCGTTCCGTACCGGGACAGGAGGGCTCAGGCTGTTCGGGACCGGGACAGGAGGGCTCAGACCGCTCCGTACCTGGACAGGAGGGCTCGGACCGTTCCGTACCGGGACAGGAGGGCTCGGACCGTTCCGTACCGGGACAGGAGGGCTCGGACCGTTCCGTACCGGGACAGGAGGGCTCAGGCTGCTCGGGACCGGGACAGGAGGGCTCGGACTGTTCCGTACCTGGACAGGAGGGCTCGGACCGTTCCGTACCTGGACAGGAGGGCTCAGGCTGTTCCGGACCGGGACAGGAGGGCTCAGACCGCTCCGTACCTGGACAGGAGGGCTCGGACCGCTCTGTACCGGGACAGGTGGGCTCGGACCGCTCCGGACCGGGACAGGTGGGCTCGGACCGCTCCGGACCGGGACAGGAGGGCTCGGACCGCTCCGTACCGGGACAGGAGGGCTCGGACCGTTCCGTACCGGGACAGGTGGGCTCGGACCGCTCCGGACCGGGACAGGAGGGCTCGGACCGCTCCGTACCGGGACAGGAGGGCTCGGACCGTTCCGTACCGGGACAGGTGGGCTCGGACCGTTCCGTACCGGGACAGGAGGGCTCGGACCGTTCCGTACCGGGACAGGTGGGCTGGGACTGCTCGGGACCGCTCCGTACCGGCGCGGGCCCGCTCCGGGCTGGGAGCGGGGCTCTCACACCGGCGTGGCACGAGTCTGCACTGGTGTGATGGAGCTCAAACTGGGACAGGGATCCCCAAACTGGGACTTGCGAGCCCGGCACTGGTTCCAGTTCCCCCCCCCCCCCCCCGCGCATGCGCGCTCCGGACGGGACGCCCCCTCTGCGCGCGCACACGCGCGTGATTACGTCACGCCCCGCCCTGCCACGCCCAACCGGAACCACGAGTTGCTTCTGCGCTTGCGCGAATCTGACCACGCCCATCGCATGCAAATGAAGGGTGTGGTCGCTACGCCCACCCCTGCCCATTGGCGCGTGCGCTTTGGGCGAAACGACGGGGGCGTGGCTCGATAAACCCCGCCCTTCACTGGGATTAATTTGAATAACCCCGCCCATCCCCACGCGAAGAGGATGGGCGGGGTCAAGGCGAGGCCCCGCCCAGCGGCGGCTCGCGCGGTTGCCATAGCGACGGCGGCTGCGCGCGGGCGCGGGGGCGGGGCCGCGGGCGCGGCGGGAACGGAGCGCCCCCTGGCGGAGAGCGCTGAGGGAAGGGGTCCGTGAGGGGGCGGCTCTGGGGGACTGAGGGAATGAGGGAATGAGGGAATGAGGGAATGAGGGACTGAGGGAATGAGGGACTGAGGGACTGAGGGAATGAGGGAATGAGGGACTGAGGGACTGAGGGAATGAGGGAATGAGGGACTGAGGGAATGAGGGAGGGGGTCTGTGAGGGGGCGGCTCTGGGGGACTGAGGGAATGAGGGAATGAGGGACTGAGGGAATGAGGGAAGGGGTCCGTGAGGGGGCGGCTCTGGGGGACTGAGGGAATGAGGGAATGAGGGACTGAGGGAATGAGGGAATGAGGGAATGAGGGACTGAGGGAATGAGGGAGGGGGTCCGTGAGAGAGGGAGGGGGTCTGTGAGGGGGCGGCTCTGGGGGACTGAGGGACTGAGGGAATGAGGGAATGAGGGAGGGGGTCTGTGAGGGAGAGGGGTCTGTGAGGGGGCGGCTCTGGGGGACTGAGGGACTGAGGGAGGGGGTCTGTGATAGAGGGAGTCTGTGAGGGAGGGGGTCTCTGAGAGAGGGGGTCTCTGAGAGAGGGGCTCTGTGAGAGAGGGGGGGTCTTCAAAGGGTGTTCTTCAGGAGGGGGACCCTGAGGATGAGGGATTTTCTGAGGTGGGGGTCCATAGCGGGGCCTGTCCCTCTCCTGGGGTCAGGGGCTCTGGGGTGCTCCTGAGGGGACGTGGCCGAGCCCCGGCCCCGTTTCGTGGGCTGGGGGCTGCCCCCCAAGAGGAGATGCTCTCTCAGGGGAGGAGGGGGTGCCCTGGCACGCGCTGGGTTTTGGGTGGCTGGAAGTGGAGCCCATCAAGGTGTCCCTTTCTCCCCTTGTGGATGGGGACACTTTGTGGTGGCTTTGGGACCCCTGAGAGGGGCTTTGAAACCCTTCCAACAGCCCTGAGCTGCCGCTGCTGCCTCTCACAGGTGACACCGTGCCGCCACCATGGGCTCCGTGCGTTCCCTGCCCGCCGCCAGCGCTGCCCCGAGCCGGAGGAAGGCTGAGCATGAGGAGGATGAGGATGTGTTGGTCGCCCAGGAGCCCGTGGAGGACGTGGCCAAGATTCCCTACATGGAATTCACGGGCCGGGACAGCGTCACCTGTCCCACCTGCCAAGGCACTGGCTGCATCCCCACAGGTGGCTGCTCCTCTGGGGTGTAAACACCCCAAATCCCAGCTCTAAAATGCAAAAAAAAGTCACTTTTTAATGTGTTATTCGCACTTTACTTCCCAGAGCAGGTGAATGAGTTGGTGGCTCTGATCCCTTACAGCGACCAAAGGCTTCGTCCTCAGAGAACGTAAGGGAGGAGTTATTTTAGGGGTTGTTTTCACCCCCAAAAATAGGATTTAAAGTTGCTTTTAAATATTTCTACCATGGGCACCACGATCCCACTCCCACCTTCCATCCCCTCACTGGAGTTTTGGGAGCAGCTGTAAAAAGACCCCAAAATGCTGCTTGGGTTGCTCAGTGCCCAACCCCCAATGTGGAAAGGGAGGATTTTGAGCCATTTTGATATTAAAAATGTGACAGCAGCTTTGGGTGCCTCTTCTAAGGAAACCAAACAAGAGGTGGGGTTTTTTAGGATCTGAATCTAGCAGAGGAGGTGAAGAATTTAATTTTTTTGATTTTTTTTCCCCAGGAAACTCTATGTGCTGCTCTCAGTGCTGCTCTGCCTGCTGCTATCCGGCCTGGGGGTGTTCTTCCTGTTCCCCCACTCCGTGCTGGTGGACGATGGTGGCATCAAAGTGGTCCAGGTGTGGTTTGACAGGAAAAACTCCGCTGTCCTCCTGGCCATCACGGTAAAGTTCCTGTGGATTTGGGAAAATAAATCACCAGGGGAACAAGCCAGCAGGGTCAGGGTTGTTTCTGTCCCCCTCCAGGCCACCCTGAGGATCAGGAATTCCAACTTCTACTCGGTGTCGGTGAGCAGCCTGAGCAGCCAGGTGCAGTACATGAACACCGTGGTGGGCAGCCAGCAGCTCACCAACGTCTCCAGCATCCAGCCCCTGAGGGACAAACTGGTACTGAGCAGTGTCCAGGGGCCACAGCTGCTTTTGCTCCGTCCACGCCCTCAGAAATGGGGTTGAAGGGTGATGAAACCGCGCTGAAATCCGATTTTTCCGCTCTGTTGCAGGTGAATTTCACCGTGAAAGCAGAGCTGGGTGGATCCCTGTCCTATGTGTAGTAAGGATTTACTGCTCCTTGGAGATGCCTGGGGAGGGAGAGGGTTGGAGCTGCTTTGATTAAAATTTGGGAAATTATCTGGAAATCACTCGCTTTTCCTGCTCACTTCCTTGGCCAGGAATTTTCTCAAGGAGCTGTGAGATGGTTTTGTTAACACCAAAGTGAAAAATACCAGCAGGGGCTGCCAAAAACCCCCAAATTCCTCAAGTTTCTCACTTGCTGACCAATTTCCTTGATCTTTTCCAGTTTTTTCTGCACTTTGCCCAAGGTGAAGGTCCACAACATCGTGATCCTCATGAGGTGGGTGCTGCTCCTGCTTTGGGTTCTTGGAGCTCTTTTCCCACCTTGAAGATTCTGTTCAGTGGTTCCTGAATCCCAGGGGGGTTCCAGCTGCGGATTTGGGCTCCGGGGAGAAAATCCTGCTTGGATTTTTCCCAGGTTCCCCCCAAATCCACCTCAGAGTCAGGTTTTAACCCAGCCCAGGGGGGTAAATATGGTGTGGAGCCTCCCTCCAGAGGCTGCAATTCCCACCTTTTCACCAAAACCCGCAGGAATTTGGGTTGTTTTTTGGTTTTTTGAGGAAAAGAGGAGTTGTGTGATGACTCCAAACGTGCTGCAGTGTCCCTTTGCCCTGCCAGGACCTCGGTGAAGCTGTCCTACATCGGCCGCAGCGCCCAGAGCGCCCTGGAGACCTTCCACTACCTGGACTGCAGCTCCAACTCCACGGCCCCGCTGCCCGCCGCGGCCCGGGCGGCGCCCTGAGGGCACCGGGGCAGCACCGGGGCAGCACCGGGACGTGAGTGGCTCTGCGGGGACACACCCGGCGGCTCTGCGGGGACACACCCGGCAGCTCCGGGCCCTTTGGGTGCTCCTTCCCCTCCTCTTTGCTGAGGAATCCGGAACTTTTCCCTCCTCAATTAAGGGTTGAAAATCACAGAGGTTTTCAGTGCTCTGCACCTGTTCTGCAAGCTTGGTGCCGCCAGGGTGTTTCGGGGTAAATGGGTTTGATTTTTGAGAGTGAATGTATTTATTTTTTTCAGGGGAAATGAGGTTATTTTCCTGCTCAGTGGTGGCAGCACCTCAGGACCCCAAAAAAGGGACAGTTCCCACCTGCAATGAGCCTCTGTTATACCTTGGAAGGAGGCAAAGGAACCCAAATCTTGGGAATGAACATCTTCCTCATTTTTCCCCTGTGGCTCCGACAGCTTTGGCATCCAGAGGCTCTTCCCTGGGGTTTGAAATCCGGGAATTTGCTGCTTTTTGTGCTCCACTTCCCAAAGCAGCGGGGACTGGAGGGGGTTCTGTGGGAGGCTGGGATTCCAAGGCCTCCCTGCCGGGAGCTGGACATTCCTGCCAGGCACTATCGAGAGCAAAATCCAGCTGCAAGCTCGGCCCCCGCAGCCCTTTGGCATTTTGCCCCTTTTTGGGAGTTTTTTTCTGGAATTTCAGCCCTCGTTTCCCGTGGGATTTGGGATTCAGACACAGCTACATCTGAGGGGATCCTTCCTCAGTGGAAAAATTACTGGATATTTGGGTGACAGTGGCACAAAATCCACACTTTGCTCCCTTTTCCAGCAGGAGATTCCTGCCCCTGCAGCATTTGTGGGGCTGAATTCTTCATTAAACCTGATTTGGATCTTTCCATGCATTGTCCTTTATTTCTTTTAACGAAAAGCTCTTGATTTGTCCTAAATCCAGTGCTCTGCTGGGATTGCTCCTGTGGTGTTTTTTGCCCCAAAATCCCTGTTTTGCTGAGGGATTTCCATAGAATCCCAGAATGGGTTGAGTGGGATGCTAAAACTCATCCCCAGGGATGGGGAATCCTCTGGGAATTCCATCCTGGGGCCTCCCTGCCCTCACAGGGAGGAATTCCTTCCCAAAATCCCACCCAAACCTCCAGATCCCGGTGGGAAGCCACTCCCCATGTGCTGTCCCTCTGTCCTTGATCCCAAATCTGTCCCCAGCTCTCCTGAAAGGTCACCCTGGAGCCTTTCCTTCTCCAGGCTGGAAAATCCCATTTTTCCCAGGCTTTCCCAGGAGTTTTTTGTGGGGAAAAAACTCAACCAGGTGCCCATTCCCAGCTGGGACCAGTGCCCAGATCCCAATCCCAACCTCCTTCCCTGGTGACCAATTCCCACTGAATTTTCCTTTTTTTTTTTTTTAAGGAAAAGTAAGAAATCCCAAACTTTGCTATTTCTGCATTTTCTTCCTCCTAGCTGGGTTTAATCCAAATTTTCTGGGGGTCTCCCCACATTCCCTTTCCCCCTCTTTATCCCCATTCCCACTTTTCCAAGGATCCTGGAGGGTTTTTGGTGGGGCTGCCCCCAGGAGGGACCCCCGAATTTGCTGCTTGGCTGCGCCAGGAGGGGAAAGATTTGACCCCAAACCCTCGGTGCAGAGCCCCCATCATTAGGAGAGCGTCTCAAAGGGCATTTTGGGGTGGAAAATCCTCTTTAATCCCCCAATCCTCCTTAATGAATTTCCCCTGCCAATGTTTTGGTGCTTGGCCACAACTGGCAGCTGCTGCACTTGAAGCTGGGAGGGTTTTTAAAAGTCAAATTCTGCCCCAAAATGGCTTTTTAAAAAATAATCTTTTCAAGTTATAATTTCTCTGAGCAAAGCTTTGCCATCCACAGAGATAAAAAGAGGAGTTTTGACCCAAAAGAATCGGGAGGAAGCTCCGGAATTCCTCACCCAGGAGCTGCCTGGGGCCTCTTGCAGGAGAGATCTGAGCAGGTCTGGGGCTCTTCGGGGTCACTGGGCTGATTTTTGTCAAGATCATTAAAAAAATCCCATTTCTGACCTTTTTTTTTTGCCTGTAATGAACAGCCTGGTGAGGAGAGGAATTTCCATGTAGGATTTTTTGTGGTGCAGCAAGAGGGGAGTCTCCTACTTCCAGTGCTGCAAAACAGCCCAAAATTGAGGGTTTTTTTGCAGGTAAAAATCAGGATAAAATTCGTGGGGAGGAGGGGATTGCCCTGGTGACACCGGGATTGTCCCAGTCCTAATTATGGGACAAGAATTCCACAATTAAACCTCCTGCTTTTCCAAGAGTTTCTACTTCAACTTTTTTTTTTTTTTTTTTTTTTTTTTTTTTTTTTTTGGAGAATTTAGCCCCTCTCTTCCCCCTTAGCTTGAAATATCCCAACCCAAAAGATGTGAAATTTTAACCCAAAATAAGGATTTCAATAGGATTTTTTCCCAACCTTAAGAACTGTACAGTGGCTGAAACGGGGAGGAAATATTTAAATTAACAGCAAACACACCCAAGAAAAAAGAGACTGAACTCAGCTTTTACTTTTGACCAAAAGTTTTTTTTTTTAGATTTTTTTCATTTTATACCAACAGATGTTAAAAAATACAGACTTGTTTTACAAGAATAGCACCATTTTTGATTTTTTTTTGTGTGTTTTTAAACTCATATTATACATGAACACTCCTGCTGGGGGTAAAGGGGAAAATTAGGGGTGAGGAGGGGATTTTTGATACCTGGATTGGTGAAATCCCATTTTTTTCAAGGGAAAAAGGGATCACTGACATTCCCACCTCCACCTGACCTCAAAAACAGGTCTTCCAGGAAGAGAATAAATAAATATTAACGGGTTTTTCCTTTGATTCCGGTGTTGGGATGAGGTGGTTGCTCCCTGATTCGGGGTGAGCCCTTTCAGTGCAGAACTTCTCAGCTCCTTTTTGGGGTGGATCCCGTTTTTTGTGGTTTTTAATTTTTTTTCTTTTTTTAAGGAATCGGGCCGGGCTTTTTAAAAAAAAAGCAAAAACCAAACCAACAAACAAAAACCACGACAACCCAAAACAAACAACCACACCAAAAAAAATCCTGTTTTTTTTTTTTACAAGAAGCAGACGGGGCCGAGGTCGACCCCAAACTCCTGCTCGGGTCCCCCAATGTCCATAGGTGCAATGTCCACGATGGGCAGGCGCGAGGTCTTCTGTGAGCGGTACTCGATGACAGTCCTGCCCCACTTCCCCGTGTGTTTCTGAGGGAAAAACGGGCAAAAATGGGGTTATTTCATCTATTACATCCTCGCCAAACCTTTCAAATCCCAGACTGAGCCCAAATTTATCATCAGGCCCCAATTCTTGCTGTGGTTCTAAGGGGGAAAATGGGTAAAAATGGGGTTATTTAATCTTCTAGGACCTTCCCAATCTCAGTTTGAGCCCAAATTTACCATTAATATCAGAAAAATGGGGTTATTTAATCCTCTAGAACCTTCTCAATCTCAGCTGGAACCCAGATTTATGATTGGAATTGTAAAAATGGGGTTATTTAATCTTCTAGAACCTTCCCAATCTCAGTTGGCACCCAGATTTATGATTAGAATTGGAAAAATGGGGTTATTTAATCTTCTAGGACCTTCCCAAACTCAGTTTGAGCCCAAATTTACCATTAATATCAGAAAAATGGGGTTAGTTAATCTTCTAGAACCTTCCCAATCTCAGTTGGCACCCAGATTTATGATTGGAATTGAAAAAATGGGGTTATTTAATCTTCTAGGACCTTCCCAATCTCAGTTTGAGCCCAGATTTATCATTAGCATTGGAAAAATGGGGTTATTTAATCTTCTCTGGATTTGGACCTTCCAAACCTCAGTTTGAGCCCAGATTTATCATTAGAACTGGAAAAATTGAGTAAATTCATCTTCCAGGACCTTCCCAACCTCCATTTGAGCCCCATTTCATGGGTACACCCATCCCTGGAGCGCCGTGGCCACCTGCGGGTGTCACCGGAGCCCGGGCGCGGTGACGGGCGGTGACACCCGCTGAGATCCCAACCTCGTTCACCCCTGGATTTGCGGAGCCTGCCTCGATGTCCCCGCCCGGCACCCACCGTGCAGCCGTCCTCCAGCACGCTGTAGGTGAACCGGCTGTTGCCCTCGGCGCGGATCTCGACGTCGTTGGAGCCCTGGATGAGCAGCGCCTTCCTCAGGCTGCCCGACTCCTCGTCCAGGTAGGCCACGCTGTTGCGGCAGTGGTAGGTGACGTTCTGGGAGCCCTCGGTGGACAGCAGCCTCAGGAAGGTCATCTGGATGTTGGCCGTGTTGGGCGCCAGCTCCTCAGCGCCGTAGCTGAACTGCGGGCAGGAGTGAAGCTTTTTTTGGGGCATTTCGGGGGCATTTCCGGGCTCTGATTTCCCGGAGGGGTGCAGCTGTCACGGCCTCATGCCCAGATTTCTGTGAAAGTCTCTAAATCGACCAGTTCTGGTGCAAAACCCACCAATTTCACCTCAAGGAAGGACATCAAGTTTTCCATAACATCCCTAAATCCACCCATATCTGATCCAAACCCCACCAATTTCACCTCAAGGAAGGACACTGCTCCAGGATTTCCATAAAGTCCTGTGGATCAACCAGTTCTGATCCAAACACCGCCTATTTCACCCCGAGGAGGGACATCAACTCCAAACTTTCAATAAAATCCCTTAAATTAACTATTTCTGATCCAACAACCGCCAGTTTCACCCCTGGAAGGACATCAGCTCCAACTTCTCCATGGACCTCCACGCCCACCCCTTTTCCGTTCGTTCCCCGTGCCCATCCCGGCCGGACACCCACGTGGAAGCCGCCGTTGATGGTCTCGGCGAACCAGACGTGCTTCTTCTCCTTGGCTTTGCTGCTCCACCAGTTCTTCCTGGGGATGCTGCCGGGGCTGGGGTACACGCACGTCTCCCCCGTGGCCATGTTGCAGAAGACCTTGATGGCGTCCAGCGTGCAGCCCTGGTTGGGGTCGATCCAGTAATCGCCTGCGGACGAGGGCGCAGAGTGAGGGACCGGCCGGTGGTGGGTCAGCGAGGAGGTCAGCGAGGTCATCGGTGTCCGGGTGGGTGGTGGAGGGGACGAGGAGGAAGAGGGGGACACGGGGATGGAGGCAGGGATGGAGGCGGGGATGGATATAGATGGACAGAGGGATGGACACAGGGATGGACAGGGATGGACAGAGGGATGGACACAGATGGACACAGATGGACACAAGGATGGACATGGATGGACAGAGGGATGGACAGAGAGATGGACATGGATGGACACAGATGGACACAGGGGTAGACACAGATGGACACAGGGATGGACACAGGGATGGACACAGGGATGGACACAGGGATGGACACAGGGATGGACACAGATGGACAGAGGGATGGACACAGATGGACACAGGGGTAGACACAGATGGACACAGATGGACACAGATGGACACAGGGACGGACACAGGGATGGACACAGATGGACACAGGGATGGACACAGATGGACACAGGGCCGGACACAGATGGACACAGGGCCGGACACAGGGCCGGACACAGGGCCGGAGCCCCTCCCTCACCGCTCTTCCAGTCGGGGTGGCAGAGTTTGATGTCTCGGCAGGTCCTGGCTGGGTTCTTGCGGGAGCCCTCGGGGCTGCGGATGTTCTCGATCTGGTTGTTGAGGGCCTTGAGGGTGGCGTCCACCTCGGCGTCGTGCGGCCGCAGCCCCGGGGCCGCCTCGTCCGCCCGCATGTAGCGCCCGGGGTCGGGGCCCTTCTCGGGCTGCCCCAGCCCCGCGAACGCCGACATGTCGATGCCGGTGCCGGGGGGCCCGGGGGGCCCGGGCGGGCCGGGGTTCCCGGGGGGGCCCTGCGGGAGGGAGGAGCGGTCATGGGGTGATGGCCGGGGCTTGGATCGCCCTGCCCCACTGAGTGCCTCGGTCCCCCGCAGGGTCCCTGCCCTGCTGGATCTCCTCTGTCCCCCGCAGGATCTCTGCCCCGCTGGATCTCCTTTTCCCACAGGATCCCTCCCCTCCTGGATCCGATCCCTCCCCTCCTGGATTCCTTTTTCCCGCAGGATCCCTCCCCTCCTGCTCCCCTCTCCCCTCCTGGATCCCCTCTCCCCGCAGGATCCCTCCCCTCCTGGATCCCCTTTTCCCCGCAGGATCCCTGCCCTCCTGGATCTCCTTTCCCTGCAGGATCCCTCCCCTCCTGGATCCGATCCCTCCCCTGCTGGCTCCCCTTTTCTCCGCAGGATCCCTCCTCTCCTGGATCTTCTTTCCCTGCAGGATCCCTCCCCTCCTGGATCCCCTCTGTCCCCCACAGGATCTCTCCCCTCCTGGATCCCCTTTTCCCACAGGATCCCTCCCCTCCTGGATCCCCTCTGTCCCCCACAGGATCTCTCCCCTCCTGGATCTCATTTCCCTGCAGGATCCCTCCCCTCCTGGATCCAATCCCTCCCCTCCCTCTCCCCTCTCTCCCACAGGATCCCTCCCCTCCTGGCTCCGTCCCCTCCCGCCCTCTCCGCTGTCCCCGCTCACCGCCGGGCCGGGCTCGCCGCTCCTCCCGCGGGGTCCGGGGGGCCCGATGGGTCCGGGCATCCCATTGGAGCCGTCCTTGCCCGAAGGGCCCACGGGGCCGGGGGGACCCTGAAAAACCCCAAAACGGGCTCAGGGCACAGCAGCGATAGGGCTGCCACCTCCAACCCACTTTTCCCCCCTTTTCCCCCAAAATTCCCGGACTTACCCTTGGCCCGGAGGGACCCGCGGGCCCGGCAGCACCCTGGTCTCCAGAGGGACCCTGGGAAGGACGGGAGGATGGAGGATTTGGGATCCCATGGGAGATCTGGGATTTGGGTCTGGGATTTGCGGTGTGGGATGTGGGATTTGGGGTCTGGGATCTGGAGTGTGGGATGTGGGATTTGGGGTGTGGGGTGTGAGATTTGGAGTGTGGGATTTGGGATGTGGGATTTGGAGTCTGGGATTTTGGGTGTGAGATGTGGGATTTGGGGTATGGGATTTGGGGTGTGGGATGTGGGATTTGGGGTGTGGGATTTGGAGTGTGGGATGTGGGATTTGGGGTGTGGGATGTGGGATTTGGGGTCTGGGATTTAGGGTGTGGGATTTGGGATTTGGGGTCTGGGATTTAGAGTGTGGGATTTGGGGCCGCAGCCCCCCATAGGCCCCAGATCCCGGCACTTACGGGGGGCCCGGGCAGCCCCTGGAGCCCGGTGAAGCCCCGGTGCCCCTTCAGGCCGCGCTCTCCTGCCTCGCCCGCCTCGCCCTTGTCACCGCGCGGCCCCTGGGGACCCTGCGAGGGGGACACAGCGCGTCAGGAGTGGGGGTGCTCCCAAACCAGGCTGCCAAACCACGATCCCAAACGGGGATCCCAAACGGGGATCCTGGGGATTCCGGGTGGGACTCACTCACCGGCATCCCCCGGGCGCCAGCGGGGCCGGAGGGACCCATGGGACCCTGAGCACCCTGCGGGAGACAAGAGGGGAGTCAAACACAGCAGGAGTGGAATGTGGGATTGGGATGTGGGATACCCTGCGGATATTCCGTTTTATGTCCTGGGGTCCCCAGCTCGTTCCCAGTTCCAGCTCCTGGAGCTCCCGGGCGGATCCCAAACCGGGTTCCCTCCGGAGCTGCTCCGGTGCCACTCTCAGATGATCCAAACAGCTCCATGCCCCGGGTTTGGGGCGATTCCCGGGAATTCCCGTCTCCCCCCGTCCCGGCGTGTCCCGCTCACCGTCTCTCCTCTGTCTCCCTGTTTTCCCGTGGGTCCCACGGGGCCGGGAGCGCCGGGAGCGCCGGGAGCACCGGGAGCACCCACGGGGCCGGTCTCGCCACGATCGCCCTGGGAACAGGAACGGGGTCAGGAATTCCAGCTCCGGGATGGGGGCAAGCACAGGCATAACGGGAATTCCCGGGAATTCCGGCGCTTGGGAAATCCGGGATGAGCTCACCTTCACCCCGGCCGCCCCATCCCTGCCCGGGGGTCCGTCAGAGCCGGGATTTCCCTGGGAAAAGAGGAGGAATTCAGCTTTTGCCTTTGGGATGGGGAGAAAACTCCTTTTGCCAGGCAAAATCCTCCAGCGAACCCGTGCTGGGATTTTCCAGGATTAACCTTAAATCTCTGCCCAGGATCAGCCAGGGATCCATCCTGGGTATTCCAGACATTCCTGAGTTTCCTACCTCCCTGCCGGGCTCTCCGGCTGGTCCCGTCAGCCCGGGGGGTCCCACAGGCCCGGGGGGGCCCCGGTCACCAGTAGATCCAGGGGCTCCCTGTTTTCCAGGCTCTCCCTAAAAAAACACAGGAAAACCCCCGTGAGTGAGTGTGGGATGAGGGAAATACCGGACTGAGGCTTTCCCCTCTTTTCCAGGGATTTCTGAGCCGTGCAAGGGGATGGTGGAACCGCAGGATTTTTTGGGAGGGACCTTGGAGCTCACCCAGCCCCGTTTATCCCACACCTGCCGCCCTCCCGGGTGGCTCCGGGCCCCGCGCAGGGACAATCCCGGGGGTGGCGGTGACGGTCCTTAAGGTCCCTTCCGAGCCCAGAGCGCCCCATGGAGATGTGGGGATCCCAGTTCGTGCCACTGCACCCCCCTGGGCCATCCTCCTCCTCCTCCTCCTCCTCTCCCGGCCCCGCCGAGCCCTTTTCCAGGCTGGGAATTCCCGCTCACAGCTCTGGGAATTCCAGGCGGGGATGGAATTCGGGATGAAACCCTCCGAGTCCCGCAGGTGCCGCCGGTCCCGGGGGTGCGGAGCAGAGCGGGATTTGCCCCAGAGCCTCGTGCCGGGGGGGTTGGGGGCAGCAAAGCAGCAGGAAAGCGGGAGAGAGGGAGGGAATTCCAACAAACCCTCCTCGGCCACAGAATTTCCCCAGAGCTCGGGGGGCACGAATTCCCGGCGGGAAGAAGGTAAAAATTGGGATGGAAAATGCGTCACGCTGCTCTGGTGCAGGGCCGTGTCAGGGGGGAACAGCCCTGGGAGATTTTGGGACGTTGGTTTGGCACGGGAAGAGCTGCGATCCCAAAAGTACCTGGAGATGCTTTTGGGATGGGGATGAGCGGCTTCCACCGCTCCCCACCCTCCCGAAATCCCTCCGCGCCGCGAAATTGCCTCTGATGAGCTCCCAGAATTCGGGATTTATTTTGGTTTTTTGGGGTTTTTTTTGGTGTTTTTAAGGGTTTGGCTCACCGAGGGTCCCGGCAGTCCCGGGAATCCGCGCTCGCCGCGCTGCCCCGGCAGCCCCACGATGCCGCGCTGTCCTGCCAGCCCCTGGGGACCGGGGGGACCGTCCGGGCCCTGCGGGGACACAGAGGGGCTCAGCGCCGCTCGGGGGGTGGCGGAGGGTCCGGGGGTGCCGTCCCCAAACCCCAAATACCGCGGGGCCGTCCTCGCCGGGCTCGCCCTTCTCGCCGGGGGGGCCGGCGGGGCCCTGCAGCCCCGGGTCCCCCGCCCGGCCCGGGGGTCCCGCGTCGCCCCGGGCGCCCTTGGGGCCGTCCTTGCCCGCGGAGCCGGGGGGCCCGGGGGGGCCGGGGTTACCCTGCAGGGGAGATGGGGGTCAGAGCGGGCCCGGCTGATCCCGGCTGTCCCGAGCCATCCCAGACCTGCCCGGGCCATCCTGGCTGCTCCGGCTGATCCCAGTTCATCCCAGTGATCCCAGTTCGCCCCAGTGATCCCAGTTCACCCCATTGATCCCAGTTCACCCCAGTGATCCCAGTTCACCCCAGTGATCCCAGTTTTCCCCCAGTGATCCCAGTTTCCCCCCAGTAACCCCAGTTCACCCCAGTGACCCCAGTTTGCCCCAGTAACCCCAGTTCACCCCAGTGATCCCAGTTCACCCCAGTAACCCCAGTTTTCCCCCAGTGATCCCAGTTGCCCCAGTGATCCCAGTTCACCCCCAGTAACCCCAGTTCACCCCAGTGACCCCAGTTCACCCCCAGTGACCCCAGTTCACCCCAGTGATCCCAGTTCACCCCAGTTTTCCCCCAGTTGCCCCCAGCTCACGTTGGGGCCGGGGGGTCCGACGCGTCCGGCGGCTCCCGGGAATCCGGTGGCTCCCTGGGGATGGAGACAAGGGGGGCTCAGACCCCCGCCCCTCCCCCACTCCCCTCCTCCCTCCCCCACCCCCTCCCCCACCCCCACTCACCGGGGGTCCCTGAGCGCCCCGGGCTCCTTTGGGACCGGTGACACCGGTGGGACCCTGGCAAGAGGCAGAAAACCGATCAGGCCAGTCCGGACCGGGAGATCCCGGGAATTCCCGGGATGAGCGACCCCCGCAAGGGCTCAGCCCCAATTTGGGGGTCTCGCTGGACCCACCTGCGGTCCGGGGGCTCCGGAGGGCCCCTGAGGCCCGGGGGCTCCGGCGTCGCCCTTCTGGCCGGGCTCGCCCTGCTCGCCCTTGGCTCCGGGCTGGCCGTCGGCGCCCTGGCGGAGAGCCGCGGTCAGCGGGCAGCGGGCACCGGGGGCCGGGGCGGGGGCGGGGGGCGGAACTCACCGGGGGACCGGCGAACCCGGCGGGGCCGGGGGCTCCGGGCTCTCCGCGCTCTCCCTGCGGGGGGAACGGGCTGAAAATCACGGGGAGGGGGCGAACGCGGCACTGCCACCGCCAGCGGGGCACGGGCGGCACTTACCGGGGCACCGCGGGCACCGGCGGCTCCCGACGGGCCGGGGGGGCCAGACTCGCCCTGGAAAGGAACGGGAGCGGTGCGGGATGGAGGGGGATGATGTGGGGTCTGTCCCGGGGATGGGCTGGGGGCTGCCCGGGCGGGGAGAGCGCGGGGCCGGACGGGGATGGGGTGGGGTCTGCCCGGGGATGGGCTGGGGGCTGCCCGGGGATGGGCTGGGGGCTGCCCGGGGATGGGCTGGGGGCTGTCCCGGGGATGGGGTAGGGTCTGCCCGGGCGGGGAGAAAGCGGGGCTGTCCCGGGGGTGGGCTGGGGGCTGCCCGGGCGGGGAGAGCGCGGGGCCGGACGGGGGTGGGCTGGGGGCTGTCCCGGGGATGGGCTGGGGTCTGTCCCGGGGGTGGTGTGGGGGCTGTCCCGGGGATCCGGTGGGATCTGTCCCGGGATGGGCTGGGATCTGTCCCGGGGATGGGGTGGGGGCTGCCCCGGGGATGGGGTAGGATCTGTCCCGGGGATCAGCTGGGATCTGTCCCGGGGATCCGGTGGGGTCTGTCCCGGAGATCGGGTGGGATCTGTCCCGGGGATCCGGTGGGGTCTGTCCCGGGGATCCGGTGGGGTCTGTCCCGGAGATCGGGTGGGATCTGTCCCGGGGATCCGGTGGGGTCTGTCCCGGGGATCCGGTGGGATCTGTCCCCGTGGGAGCACCGGCGGGACCACCCCGCTCTCACCTTCTCGCCGTTGGGGCCAGCGGGGCCGGGGGGGCCGATGGGACCGGTCAGACCCTGCGGGGACAGAGGGGACAGTGAGGCCACGGGGGACCGTGGGTGGCCACCGTGGGCATTCCTCACCGACCACCATGAGGAGGAGGCTGCCAGAAGCGTCCCAGGCCGGCCACAATGGGCACCCTTGGGTGGCCCCATGACTGTCCCAGGCCGGCCACAATGGGCACCCTTGGGTGGCCCCATGAGTGTCCCTGGCCGGCCACAATGGGCACCCTTGGGTGGCCCCATGAGTGTCCCTGGCCGGCCACCAAGGGCATCCCTGGCTGCCACCCTGAGTGTCCCTGGCCGGCCACCAAGGCCACCCCTGGCTGCCACCCTGAGTGTCCCCGCTTGGCCCCTCCCGCCCCACCCGCGCCCCACTCACGCGGGCTCCGTCCTTTCCGGGGGCTCCCTCGGGTCCCTTCTCTCCGACGTCGCCCTGCGGGGTGGGACAGGCCCAGGGTGAGCCCAGCCGAGCGCTGGTGGCGCTGGTGGCGGCCCGTGAGCCCCGTGTCCCCGTCACTCACCCTGTCCCCCTTGGGCCCGGCGATGCCAGCCGCTCCTCTCTCCCCGGGCATCCCCTGCAGCCCCGGGGGTCCCTGGGCGCCGGTGGGGCCGGCGGGGCCGGTGGCGCCCTACAACAGCAAAGGGACATTACCGCTGTCCCCCCGCGCTGGCACCGCCATCGGCGCTGTCCCCGTGTCACCCACCTTGGGTCCGTCGGTGCCGGGGGTACCGGGCAGCCCGCGGGGCCCCTGCAGGCCCTGGGCACCGGGAGAGCCGCGCTCGCCGGGGAAACCGCGCTCGCCCTGCGGGGACACGGGACACCCGCGTGGGTGGCAGCGGGGACATGGCAGGGCACCGTCCCACGGGGGGACTGGGATGGCCCGGGAGGGACCGGGACAGGGACGGGATGAAGGTGTCCCCAGGCTGGGGGGATGGGCGGCACTGGCACACCTCAAACCCCCCCAGGGGACACTCTGTGACCCCCCCAGGGGACACTCTGACCCCCCCAGGGGACACTCTGACCCCCCAGGGGACACTCTGTGACCCCCCCAGGGGACACTCTGACCCCCCAGGGGACACTCTGTGACCCTCCAGGGGACACTCTGTGACCCCCCAGGGGACACTCTGATCCCCCAGGGGACACTCTGTGACCCCCCCAGGGGACACTCTGTGACCCTCCACCGGGGGACACTCTGACCCCCCCAGGGGACACTCTGACCCCCCAGGGGACACTCTGTAACCCCCCCAGGGGACAGGTGACACTTACCCTGGGGCCCACCAGCCCGGGGGCTCCGGCTTCTCCAGGAACGCCCTGTGGGAAGGGCACAAACGGGTTTGGGGTCAGACCTGGGGGATTTGGGGGATCCCGATCCCGCCCGGGGGGGACTGGGGGGTCTCACCTGATCTCCGGGCTTGCCGCTCTCGCCGGGGGGACCTGGTGGCCCTGGCAGCCCCTGGGAGGGGACAGGAGCCGTGTGAGAATGGTGACAGTGAGACCCTGGGGCTGGGGTGGCGTCACCCCAAACCCCAAACCCCAAACCCCAAATCCCAACCCCAAACCCCAACCCCCAAATCCCAAACCCCAAATCCCAAACCCCAAACCCCAAACCCCAAACCCCAAACCCCAACTCCAAACCCCAAACCCCGAACCCCAAACCCCAAACCCCAAACCCCAACCCCAACCCCCCGTGCTCACCTGGAAGCCGGAGGGGCCGGGGGCTCCTTGCTCCCCCCTCTCCCCTGCCGGGCCCTGTGGGATGGACGCTGCTCAAGGACCCCAAAACACCTTTGGGATCTCAGTTTCCCCCACCCCAGGATTTTGGGGATGACACAAGGGTGGGGGATTTGTGGGGTTTGTGATCCCCCAGCGGATCCAGCAGGGATTTAGCCCAAATTTGGGGTTTTTAGCCCCAATTCCGAGCTCCCCGTTGCACTCACGGCGGGCCCGGGGGGTCCGGCGGCTCCGGTCTCTCCGTCCTTGCCGGGAAGTCCCTGTGGAGATGGGAACCCCACTGAGCCCCAGATCCCCCATCCTATTGCCCCCTTCCCACGCCTCAGTTTCCCCCTTTGGGGTTTTAGGGTGCAGTGGCACTGAAGGTGAATTTTTGGGGTTTGTGTGACAGAAAACTCACCCTCAGCCCCGGTGCTCCGGGAAGTCCCTTCTCACCGGCTTTTCCAGGCTCGCCCTAAAACAGGAGGGAGGATTTGGGGTTCAGCCCCGGGGAGAATTCTGGGGTGTTTTAGAGGAAAAAGGGTCTTTACTCACATTGCCGCCTTTGGGGCCAGGGAACCCCATAACGCCGGGCTGGCCCCGAGCCCCCTGCGGGCCGGGGGGGCCGGGGCGTCCGTCCTCGCCGGGGGCACCCTGGGGGGACAGCGGGGTCAGAGGGGCCAGGAGCCCACCCCAAACCCGACCCCCAACCCCAAACAACCCCAAACCCAACCCCCAGCCCCAAACCACCCCCAAACCATTAACCACACCCACCCCAAACCCGACCCCCAACCCCAAACCCAACCCCCAAACCCAACCCCAAACCCCAAACCACCCCAACCCCAAAACCCAAACCCAACCCCCAAACCTCCCCAGCCCCAAACCCAACCCCCAACCCCAAACAACCCCAAACAACCCCCAACCCCAAACAACCCCAAACAACCCCAAGCCCAACCCCCAACCCCAAACAACCCCAAACCCAACCCCCAACCCCAAACAACCCCAAACCACCCAAACAACCCCAAACAACCCCAACCATTAACCACCCCCAACCCCAAATCACTCCCAAACCCAAATCTCAAACCACCCAAAACCTCAAACCACCCCCAACCCCAAACCAGCCCCAACCCCAAACCACCCCTTACCCCAAACCAGCCCCAACCCCAAACCACCCCTTACCCCAAACCAGCCCCAACCCCAAACCAGCCCTAACCCCAAACCAGCCCCAAGCCCCCAGTGGGGTCTCACTCACTGTGGGGCCGACTTTGCCTTGGGGCCCGGCGTCCCCGGGGCGACCCGTGAGACCCTGTGGGGACAAAAAGGGTTTGTGGTGTGAGGGGCATGACCCCATGGCCATGGGGTGACCCCAAAGAGCAAGGAACCCCAAGGAGGACTTTTGGGAACCCCAAATGCACCTCGGTAATCCCAAAGAGCATCTGAATTAGCAGAGAGCGTCTTAATTAACCGCAAAGGTTCTTAATTAGCACCAAAGAACTCCAAGAGACCAAAAAAGTTCTTAATGCCAAAGGGCATCTTGGCTAACCCCAAAAGGACCTTAGTGACCCCAAAAGCTCCTTAAACAACCCCAAAAGCACCTTGAATAACTCTGAGCACCTTATCAACCCCCAAATCTCCCTAAACCAACCCCAAAATCACCACATTGACCCAAAAACCACCTCGACCACCCCCAAACCACCCTTAGCAACCCTAAAAGTGTGTTAGTGACCCCAAAACCACCTTAACCACCCCCAAAATCAGCTAATTGACCCTAAAAGTGCTTTAACCAACCCCGGTCCCCCTCATCCATCCCCCATCCCTCAAGGGTGCCGCCCTGTCCCCAGTTTTGGGGTGGCTGCTGTCCCAGTTTTGGGGTGGCTGCTGTCCCAGTTTTGGGGTGGCTGCTGTCCCCAGTTTGGGGTGCCTCCCTGTCCCCAGGTTTGGGGTGGCTGCTGTCCTAGTTTTGGGGTGGCTGCTGTCCCCAGTTTGGGGTGTCTGTCCCAGTTTGGGGTGGCTGCTGTCCCAGTTTGGGGTGGCTGCTGTCCCCAGTTTGGGGTGGCTGCTGTCCCAGTTTGGGGTGGCTGCTGTCCCAGTTTGGGGTGTCTGTCCCAGTTTGGGGTGTCTGTCCCAGTTTTGGGGTGTCTGTCCCCAGTTTGGGGTGTCTGTCCCAGTTTGGGGTGTCTGTCCCAGTTTGGGGTGGCTGCTGTCCCCAGTTTTGGGGTGCCTGTCCCAGTTTGGGGTGGCTGCTGTCCCCAGTTTGGGGTGTCTGTCCCAGTTTTTGGGGTGGCTGCTGTCCCAGTTTTGGGGTGGCTGCTGTCCCAGTTTGGGGTGTCTGTCCCAGTTTGGGGTGTCTGTCCCAGTTTGGGGTGGCTGCTGTCCCAGTTTGGGGTGTCTGTCCCAGTTTGGGGTGTCTGTCCCAGTTTGGGGTGGCTGCTGTCCCTCACCCTGGCTCCAGGCAGGCCGGGCTCTCCGGGGCGTCCGGGGTCTCCAGTGGCTCCTTTGGGGCCGGCCAGGCCAGCGGGGCCGCGCTCGCCAGGGGCCCCCTGTGGGGGATTCGGGGTCAGTTTGGGGTTCGGGGTCAGTTTGGGGGTTCGGGCTCAGTTTGGGGGGTCACCACGATCCCACCTTGGGGCCGGCCAGCCCGTCCTGCCCGGGGAAGCCGCGGTTGCCGGGAGCTCCCTGTGGGGGAAGATGAGGAGTTGTGGGGTCAGGGGAGGGTTTTAGGGTCGAGGGAAGGATTTTTGGGGTTGAGGTCAGTTGTTCGGGATCAGGGTGGGGTTTTGGGGTTGGGGTCAGTCTGTAGGGCTCAGGGCCGGTTTTTGGGGTCGGGGGCAGCACAGACCCTCTCTCCAGGCGGCCCCAAAGGTCCGGCAGCTCCGGGCTCTCCGCGGGCTCCTCTCTTGCCTTCCTCCCCCGCCGGTCCGGGGGCGCCCTGGGGTCCCGCGGGGCCCTGGGGGGAGGAGGAGAAGGGTCACAAGGAGCTTCACCCCCCCGGGACAGACCCCACAAATCCCGTCCCGGTCCCGGTCCCGCCGCGGCGCCGGGCTCGGCGGGGCCCCATTGACGGTGCCTAATGAGGCGAGGGGGAATGTCCCCAAGGGGGGGATGTCCCCAAGGGGGGGACACGCCAACACTGCGGCCATTGTCCCCTGGCCCCGGCGGGAGGGGGACGGGCCCTGCGAGGGGCCTCGCTCGGGAACGGCTCCGTGGGGCCCGGGGGCACCGGAGGGGAGACAGGGAACTGGGGGGCACTGGGGGCACTGGGGGGCACTGGGGGGAACTGGGGGGCACTGGGGTGGGATGGACACTGGGGGGCACTGGGGTGGACACTGGGGGGCACTGGGGGGCACTGGGTGGGCCCAGGGTGGGCACTGGGGGGCACTGGGGGGCACTGGGGTGGGATGGACACTGGGGGGCACTGGGGGGACACTGGGTGGGCACTGGGGTGGGATGGACACTGGGATGGACACTGGGATGGACACTGGGATGGACACTGGGATGGACACTGGGGGGGCACTGGGGTGAGATGGACACTGGGGTGGGCACTGGGATGGACACTGGGGGGGCACTGGGGTGAGATGGACACTGGGGGGGGCACTGGGATGGACACTGGGGTGGGCACTGGGGTGAGATGGACACTGGGGTGAGATGGACACTGGGATGGACACTGGGATGGACACTGGGTGGGCACTGGGGGGGCACTGGGTGGGCACTGGGGGGGCACTGGGGGGCACTGGGATATGGACACTGGGGTGGGCACTGGGGTGGGATGGACACTGGGATGGACACTGGGATGGACACTGGGATGGACACTGGGGTGGGCACTGGGGTGGACACTGGGGTGGCACTGGGGGGGGCACTGGGGTGGCACTGGGATGGACATTGGGATGGAAACTGGAGTGGACACTGGGATGGGCACTGGGTGGGCACTGGGGGGGGCACTGGGGTGGGCAATGAGGGGCCAGGGATGGACACTCCCTGCACAGAGGGGTCAGGATGGACACTCCCTGCACAGAGGGGTCAGGATGGACACTCCCTGCACAGAGGGGTCAGGATGGACACTCCTTGCACAGAGGGGTCAGGGATGGACACTCCTTGCACAGAGGGGTCAGGATGGACACTCCTTGCACAGAGGGGTCGGGGATGGACACTCCTTGCACAGAGGGGTCGGGGATGGACACTCCCTGCACAGAGGGGTCGGGCTGTGCCCCTGGCCGGGGGCTCGGCTGTCCCCCAGCCCCACTCACCGTCTCTCCCTTGGGTCCCTGCTCGCCTTTGAATCCCGCGATGCCGGGCTCGCCCTGAGCAGAGACAAGGTCACAGTGTCCCCACAGCTGTCCCCACCCCAGCCCTGGCCTGGGCTCCAGGTCCTTGTCCCCACCCCATCCCATCCATCCCATCCCATCCCATCCCATCCCATCCCATCCCATCCCATCCCATCCCATCCCATCCCATCCCATCCCATCCCATCCCATCCCATCCCATCCCATCCCATCCCATCCCATCCCATCCCATCCCATCCCATCCCATCCCATCCCATCCCATCCCATCCCATCCCATCCCATCCCATCCCATCCCATTGATCCCATTGATCCCATCCCATGATCCCATTGATCCCACCCCATCGATCCCATCCCATTGATCCCACCCCATTGATCCCACCCCACCCCACCCCCAGTGTTCCCTTAGGGGTCAGGGCCGGGTGACCCTGGGGTGACCCGGGGGTGACCCGGGGGTGACCCGGGGCTGACCCGGGGGTGACTTTGGGGAGGGGACACCCAAAGGGGGGAGGTGTGAAGGGGGCGTGGCCTGGGTCCAAAGGGGCGTGGTCAGCCGCTGGTAGATGGGCGTGGCCCGGGGCGTGGCCGGGTCCCCGCGGGGACACCGGGGGGACACCGGGGGGACATCGGGGGTCTCTCACCGTCTGTCCCTTGGGGCCCAGCGGGCCGGTGGCTCCCTGGGGTCCGGGTGGGCCGCGGGGGCCGGGGAATCCTGGAGCGCCGGCGATTCCTGGAGCACCCTGCGGACATCGGGGGACATCAGGGGCCCCGCAGCGGCCCTCAGTGTCCCCAGTGTCACCAGTGCCACCAGCGTCCCCCCCTCTGCGCCAGCTCCTGGCCCCCAGCAGCTCAAATCCCACCCTGTCCCTGCAGCCCCAGTGTCCCTCAATACCCCCCCAGCATCCCCCCAGTGTCCCCACACATCTCTGTCCCCCAGTGTCCCCCAGTGTCCCCCAGTGTCCCCCAGTGTCCCCCAGTGTCCCCCATCCCTGAGTGCTCCACGACCTTCAGGGGACCCAAATGTCCCAAAATCTCAGCGCGACCCTCGGCAGCTGCTCCTCAGCCCGGGCCAGTCGCTGTCCCCATCGCCAGGGGCTCACTGGGACAGCCTGTCCCTGTCCCTGTCCCTGTCCCTGTCCCATCCCTGTCCCTGTCCCTGTCCCTGTCCCTGTCCCGTCCCTGTCCCTGTCCCTGTCCCGTCCCTGTCCCTGTCCCTGTCCCGTCCCTGCCCCACTCACCGCCGATCCCTTCGCTCCGGGGATGCCGTCCGTCCCTGGGTTCCCCTACGAGCAGACCCCGCTGAGCTCCGTGCCTCAGTTTCCCCGGATCCGGCCCCGTCCCCGCCGCTCCCGGCTTGGGGGACAGCGCGGGGGGACAAAGCCACCAGGGCGGGGGGACAAAGCCACCAGGGCGGGGGGACAAAGCCACCAGGGCGGGGGGCCACGGGGACTTACGGGGGCGCCGGCGGGGCCGGGCGAGCCGGGGGTCCCGGACTCCCCGCGGGGGCCCTGGGCACCCTCGGGTCCTCGCGCTCCGGTGGGACCCGCTTCACCCTGGCGGGGAGGTGACAAAGAGAGTCAGGGGTGACACCGGGACCCTCCTGTCCCCACCGGCCCATCCCCGCCCCCTCACCTTGGAGCCGGGGGCGCCGGGGAAGCCGGGGGCTCCTGCGGGGCCGACGGGACCCTGGGGGCGAGAGGAGCCTGAGGGTCCCCCCGGGCCCTGGGGGGCCTCGAGGGACCCCGCTGTCCCCTCGGAGGGGTGACACCGGGGCCGGGGACGCGCCAACCCCCCCCGCACTTACGGGGGGTCCGGCCGGGCCCGGGAGGCCGTCGTTGCCACGAGCGCCCTGCGGGGAGAGACGGTGCCGGGGGTCACGGGGGGTCCCCGGGGCGGGGACGGGTCCCCCCGCCACCCCCGGTGCCACCGGAGCACTCACCGCAGCGCCCGAGGGGCCGGGGCGTCCTCGTTCTCCGGGCAGCCCGCGGGGACCCTGCGGGGACAGGCGGGGGCGGTGAGGCCGTGCCTCAGTTTCCCTGGGCAGCCCGGGGGGTGCCGGAGCCCCCCGGCCGTGCCTCAGTTTCCCTCCACAGCCCGGGGGGTGCCGGTCCATGCCGAGCCCCCCCGGCCGTGCCTCAGTTTCCCCGGCAGTGCGCACTCACCATGGGCCCGGGGGAGCCGTTCTCGCCCGGGGAGCCGGACTCGCCCTGCGGGAGGGGACAGAGGTGTCACCGGGGGTCCCCAGCCCCGGGGGGTGTCCCCAACCCGGGGGGTGTCCCCAGCCCCGGGGGGTGTCCCCAGCCCCGGGGGGTGTCCCCAGCCCCCGTAGTGTCCCCAGCCCCGGGGGGTGTCCCCAGCCCCAGGGGGTGTCCCCAGCCCGGGGGGTGTCCCCAACCCGGGGGTGTCCCCAGCCCCGGGGGGTGTCCCCAGCTCCGGGGGTGTCCCCAGCCCCGGGGACAGCCACCCCCTCTCACCTTGGCTCCGGGCGCTCCCGCCTCTCCCTTGGCGCCGTCCAGGCCGGGGTAGCCCTGGGGACAGGGACAGGGAGGGGACAGGGACACGGTGGGTGACAAGGGCAGAGCCCTGCGGGGCCGCGGGGACCGGGAGGGGACACGCACTCACCCGGTGGCCTTTGACTCCGGGCAGGCCGGGGGTCCCGGGGAAGCCTCGAGCGCCCTGCGGGCAGCGGAGAGGGGGAGTTGGGGACAGGCAGGGGACAGCGGTGGCTCTGTCGCGGGGCCACCGGCGCCGCGCTCACCTGGGGCCCGGGGGGGCCGCGCTCGCCGGATTTGCCGGGTTTGCCGCTCTCGCCCTGCGGGGAAAATGGGATTTTGGAGGGGTTGGGGACACGAAAATGACATTTTTTTGTGCCTTCTCAGCCTGGCTCGGGCAGCCGGCGCTGCGGCTGAGTGTCGCCAGTGTCACTCACGTCGTCACCGGGTTTGCCAGGAGGTCCCGGAGGTCCCCGGGGACCCATCGGACCCTGGAGGGGACAAAGAGGCAGCGGTGAGTGGCACCGGGGGGTGGCAGTGCCCCGCCTCGGGGGGGTTTGGGGGCATTTGGGGACACTCACAGCAGCGCCTGGCTCGCCGGGTTCACCGGGGTTGCCTTGGAATCCTTGGGGACCCTGCAGGGACGAGGTGACATCAGCGGGGGTGGCAGCAGCCGGCCCGGACACCCCGAAATTTCGGGAGGGGGGCGATACTTACGGGGGAGCCGGAGGGGCCGGGGGGGCCGCGGGGTCCCATGGGGCCCTGGGGGGACACAACGATGTCACTTGGGGGGGGGGGGACACCGGCCACCAAAGGCCACCCAAAATTGGGGGTCCTGGGGCGGGGTCCCAAATGGGATCAGTCTGCACAGGGCTGTGGGGAGGGGGTGAGGCGGATCTGGGGAACTGAGGGAATTCGGGGGGGTTGGTGGGATTTGGGGGGCAGTGAGGGGATCTGGGGGGGGTTCATGGACATCTGGGGGGAGCCAGGGGGATTTTGGGGTGACCTTACCATGGGGCCCTGCATGACGCCCATCTGAGCCCCTCCCGCCTTCTCGTCGAAGCCCCCGGCCATCTGAGCCGCGAAGTTCTGCCAGGGAAACGGGGCTCAGCACCCCGGAGACCCCCAAAAACACCCCAAATTCCCCTCAGAAAACCCAGTTCCCATCAAACAGCCCCAATCCCCGTCAAAATCCCTGCTACTGCTCTCAAAACCCACCCAAATCCCCTCGAAACCCACCCAAATTCCCGCGAAACCCACCCAAATTCCCTCAAAACCCACCCAAATCCCCTCGAAACCCACCCAAATCCCCTCAAAACCCACCCAAATTCCCTCGAAACCCACCCAAATTCCCTCAAAACCCACCCAAATCCCCTCAAAACCCACCCAAATCCCCCTCAAAACCTCCCCAAATCTCATCAACCCCCACAAACTCCCCCAAATCCCCCTCAATTCCCACCGGAGTTCCATGAAACTCACCCAAATTCCCCTCAACCCCCCCCCAAATCTCCTCCATTTCTCCCCGAACCCCCAAATCCCGTCTCCCCTCCCCCCAAACACTCACCCCCCCCAGGCCGGGGGGTCCCGGGGGTCCGGGGGGTCCGGGGGGTCCGGGGTTTCCGGGGGTTCCGGGCTCCCCATCCCTGCCCCGGGGGCCGGGGGCGCCCTGGATGGGGGGGACAAGAAAAAAGGGATTTTTTGGGGGGTTCAGAGTGGATTTGGGGGATTTGTGGGATTTTGGGGGTCCCTCTCACCTTCTCGCCCTTCTCGCCGCGGTCGCCTCGCTGGCCCTGCTCACCTGCGGGGCCCTGGGGGGGAGGGACAGGATGGGGGAGGGGGGCAGCAGTCCCCTCCCCCCCCTGCCCCTCCCCCACGCCCCCAAACCTCCCTTCCCCAAAATTCCAGAGATTTCCCGGCCTGGAGCTGCTCCCACCTGTGGGCCCGGGGGTCCTCGGGGTCCTACGACCTGCGGGGACACAAAGGGGGGACATCAGGGCTTGGGGGGGTCCCAGCCCCTTTTTGGGATCGCCCAACCCCGCCCCTCCCACCTCAGCCCCTTTTTGGGGTCTCCGCCCTCACTCACATCTTTGATGTCACCGGGTTCACCTTTTTGTCCCTGCAGAGAGAAGCAAAGGGTGAGACCCCAAAAAAGCCCCAAAATTCCTCTCTCTGCCCCCCCCCAGGGATGAGCGCAAAATCACCCCAAAACTGTCCCAAAATTCCTCTCTCTGCCCCCCCCAAGGGCCCAAAAAAGCCCCAAAATTCCTCTCTGCCCCCCTCCAGGGATGAGCGCAAAATCGCCCCAAAAGCCACCCAAGGATGAACACAGAGACCCCAAAACTGCCCCAAAATTCCCACCAAAGGCCCCCCAAAGCCACCCCGAAATTCGGGACAACTGTCCCCCGGATTTGCTCACCTTGGGGCCGGGCTGCCCTGTAGGAAAACCCAAAAAAAAAAGGAAAAATGAAGAGAAATTAGTGGGGGGGACGCACGGATTTGGGGTGGGGGCAACAGGAGGTGGCTCAGTCCTGCTTGGGCTGTGGGGCCAAACTGGGGGGCACCGGGGGCTCCCCCAAAGCGGGGCCAGCAGCAAGGGGGGTCGAGGGGCTTTCCATGGGGGTCTGGGGGCTTTTTGGGGGTGCTCAACCCTTGAATCCCCCCCCAGCTGGGGCAGGGAAGGGTTAAAAAAAGGCAACTTGGAGGGTTTTGGAGGTTTGGGGTTTTCCTTCGTTTTGGTGTGAAATTCCACAAAACCCAAACTGGGAACCCCGGCTGGGGCTTCCTGTGGGGTCTCCATTCATTTTGGGGTGCGCTCCCATCATTTTGGGAGATTTCCCCCAAATCCCTTCTGCTCGAGTGCGGAATCCCCTCCCACCACCCTTTCCAACAATTTTCCTGTCTAAAACTCCCCCAAAACCCCCAAATTTTCAACCAGGGCTAAAAACCTGGATGATTTTTCCCCCTGGGGCCGATTTTCCCCCGTGGATTTGGGGTGAAGTTGCCTTTTCCCCCCGCGCTGCCGCATGGATGGCGCCATCCATGGCCGGGTAATTTATTTATTAACTCGCTAATGAAGGGGAATAAATAAATTACAACCGCTGGGCTGCTCGGTGGGGCAAATGGGGCAGCACTCTCCGAAGGGGATCTCGGGGCTGGGGCAGTCCCGCAGCTCCTCGCACAGGATCTCGTCGCACAGAACTGTCCCCGTGTCGCACACGCAGATCCGGCACGGCTCCGGCTTCCACACGTCCTTGTCGCTGTAGCGGTGCCCGTCCTGCAGGCAGCTGCCAGCCTCGGCTGCGGGGACAGCGCGGGGACAGCGTGGGGACAGCGCGGGGACAGCGTGGGGACAGCCAGGAGGGAGGTGGTGGCACTGCCAGCCTGGCTCTGAGCACGGCGGGGACAGCGTGGGGACAATGCGGGGACAGCCAGGAGGGAGGTGGTGGCACTGCCAGCCTGGCTCTGAGCACGGTGGGGACAATGCGGGGACAGCCAGGAGGGAGGTGGTGGCACTGCCAGCCCCGTCCTGCAGGCAGCTGCCAGCCTCGGCCGCGGGGACAGCGCGGGGACAATGCGGGGACAGCCAGGACGGAGGTGGTGGCACTGCCAGCCTGGCTCTGAGCACGGCGGGGACAGCGCGGGGACAGGCGGACAAGGGGGTGGCACCGCGTCCTGAGCACCAGGAGGAGGAGGAGGAGGAGGAGGAGGAGGAGGAGGAGGAGGTGCCGAAGGGACCCGGCGCCCCGCAGTGAGGGGGCAGCGATGGCACAGCGCGGGGACAGCCAGCAGCGGGGTGGTGGCACTGCCAGCCCCGAGCAGCGACATCCCCCCGGGTGTCCCCGCAGCTCTGGTGGCACCAGTGTCCCCACGGGCTCCCCGAGGAGGGGCGGGGATGTCCCCGGGCTGAACTCACGGGTGACCCGGAGGTACCCGGGTGCTCCCGGAGGGTCCCGGGGGTCCCCCAGGGTCCCCAGAAGGTGCCTGGGGGTCCCCCAGGCTGCCCGCCGGGTCCCCCAGGTGTCCCCTGGGTCCCTGGAACGTCCCCAGTGTCGCCAGGGATGTCCCCAGGACACAGCCCAGGGCTGGCCCTCAGCGGACCCCCCGTCCCCAGCCGGACCCTGTGACCCCAGCCGGACCTCGCTGTCCCCAGCCTGTCCCTCTGTCCCCTCCCTGTCCCCTGCTGCCCCCATGTCCCACCCGTGCCTCCTCCGGCCACCTCAAACTGTCCCCTTCCTGTCCCCAAGCTGTCCCTACTGTCCCTAAACTCCGTCCACGCCACACACCTGGATCCCAGACTGTCCCCCAGTGTCCCCACCGTGTCCCCCGCACACCCTGTGCCATCCTCCAGTTTCCCACGCTGTCGCTCCCCGCCCGACCTTGTCCCCGCGCTGTCCCCGAGGCTGTCCCGGGTGTCCCCCGCGCTGTCCCTCTTCCTTTCCCGCTGTCCCCCGATGTCCCCAACTCCCCTTGTGAGGTCCCCCCGTCTCCCTCCCTGTCCCCACCGCCCCTCCGCGCCACCAGGGCTGTCCCACATTTCCCTGACACTTCCCCCGCTGTCCCCCGCTGTCCCCCTCTCCTGGCGCTGCTGTCCCCGGGACTGCCACCAAATTTCCCGCTTTGTCCCGTGCCCCGCGCCTCCCTGCGGTGTCCCCACGCGGTCCTCGGTGTCCCCACGCGGTCCGCGGTGTCCCCACGCTCCGCTCTGCCCCTCCCCGCCACACCGAAACTTTCCCCGTCCGTGTCACGCTGTCCCCGCGCTGTCCCCCATCCCCGTTCCGCTCCGTGTCCCCTCTGTCCCCTTTGTCCCCGCTGTCCCCCCTCCCCTTCTCCAACTTTCTCTCAACGTGTCCCCCTCACCCCCCCGGCGATGCCCCGAACCTTTCCCATCCCTCCGTGTCCCCCCTGTGTCCCCTCCGTGTCCCCCCTGTGTCCCCTCCGTGTCCCCCCTGTGTCCCCGTTCTGTCCCCTCGGTGTCCCCTCTGTGTCCCCGTTCTGTCCCCGTTCTATCCCCGTTCTGTCCCCGTTCTATCCCCGTTCTGTCCCCGTTCTATCCCCCCCTCTGTCCCCACTCTGTCCCCCCTCTGTCCCCGTTCTGTCCCCCCTCTATCCCCGTTCCATCCCCTTTCTATCCCCGTTCTGTCCCCGCTCTGTCCCCCCTCTATCCCCCCTCTCTCCCCTCTCTATCCCCCCTCTGTCCCCGTTCCATCCCCGTTCTATCCCCCCTCTATCCCCGCTCTGTCCCCGCTCTATCCCCTCTCTCTCCCCTCTCTGTCCCCTCTCTATCCCCTCTCTGTCCCCTCTCTGTCCCCGCTCTCTCCCCACTCTATCCCCGCTCTGTCCCCTCTCTCTCCCCCCTCTCTCCCCTCTCTGTCCCCGCTCTGTCCCCATCCCGCACTCACGGAGGTCTCGGTCCTGCGCGGCGGCGGCGGCGAAGAGGCAGAGGAGGAGGAGGAGGAGGAGCGGGAGCCCGGCCCGGGGGGCGGCTCCGGTGCCCGCGGGCTCCGGGCGGTGTCCGCCGGGGACCGGCCGGTGTCCGGGCATGGCGAGGCGGCTGCGCCCGATCCGCGCCCGGGCCGGCAGTGCCCGCTCGGCCCCGCGGCCCCGTTTAAGTCCCGGCCCCGCCGCCCCCCGGAGCTGTAACCCGAGCCGGGCCGGCCCCGCCGGGCCCCCCGGACCTTCCCCCGGTGCCCCGGACCCTCCCCCGGCCCTCCAGCGGGGCCGGCCCTCCCGAGCCCTCCTCGGGCCCCCCGGGCCCTCCCCCGGGCACCGCCGGGGCCGGAGCGGGCGGAGGGACCCGGGCTGGGGGGGATGTGGGGCGTGGGGTGTGTTTGGGGGATGTGGGGTGTGGGGGATGTGGGGTTTGTTCGGGGGATGTGGGGTTTGTTTAGGGGATGTGGGGTGTGGGGGATGTGGGGTTTGTTTGGGGCATGTGAGGTTTGGGGGATGCAGGGTTTGGGGGATGTGGGGTTTGTTTGGGGGATGTGGGCTTTGGGGGGATGCGGGGGGTGAGGAGGCGCGGCCCATCCCATCCCATCCCATCCCATCCCATCCCATCCCATCCCATCCCATCCCATCCCATCCCATCCCATCCCATCCCATCCCATCCCATCCCATCCCATCCCATCCCATCCCATCCCATCCCATCCCATTTTTACTCCATCCCATCCCCGGCTCCCGGGAAAATCGGGATCCCCCCGACCCCCCCCCAGCTCCGTCCTCCCCCACCTCCCTGCCGGGTCCCCAAATCCCGCCCCGCTCTGGGCCCCCCTCGGGCCGACCCCTCCCCTCTTTCCCTGTCCCATTCCCGGCGGAATTCCCGAATTCCCGGCAGCGGTTTTGGGATCAGTGCGGGGGACACGGGGAACCCCCCCCCAGCCCCAAACCCAGCTCGGCCCTCCCCCAAATCGCCAAACTGGATCGGGCCGGGACCATCCCCGCCCCTAAACCCCCTCCCAAATTCTCCCCAGTGCCCCCTAAAATCCCCCCAGAGTTTCGGGAGTCAGGGCTGGATTTGGGGGGGATCGGAGGGGCTTTTGAGGGGAATTTAAGGGGGTTTTGAGGGAATTTTGGGGGAGATTCTGGGGGAGGTTGTGGGGATTTGTTTGTCGGGATTTGGGGGGGTTTGGGAGGAGTTTTGGGGGCGATTTTGGGGATTTGGGTGATCCCAGCCCCGGCAGGTGGAAGCGCGCTCGGCGTGGCCGGATCTGGCCGGGCCCGGGGCCAGCCCTTGGCTCGGGCCGCCGCTTTCCGATGGAACAGAAAAACCGGGAATAAATCAAAGGGGCAGGGAGGGGCTGCCCGACCCCTCCCCAGAGCCGGGGACGGCGACAATTCCCCCATTTCCCCAATTCCCCAATCCCCATATCCCCAATTCCCCATTTCCCCAATCCCCAATCCCCCAATTCCCCAATCCCCAATTCCCCCAATCCCCAAATTCCCCATTTCCCCCATTTCCCCCATTTCCCCCAATTCCCCAATTCCCCAAATTCCCCCAATCCCCCAATTCCCCCAATTCCCCCAATTCCCCAATTCCCCAATTCCCCAATTCCCCAATCCCCAATTCCCCCAATCCCCCAATTCCCCAATCCCCAATTCCCCCAAATCCCCAATTCCCCCCAATTCCCCAATTCCCCAATCCCCCCAAATCCCCCAATTCCCCCAATTTTCCCCTATTTCCCCAATTTTCCCCAATTTCCCAATTTCCCGATTTCCAGGTGACAGTGCCGGGCCGGGGCCGGCTCAGGTCCCCCCCCCCCCAAAACCGGGGTGGGGACCGGGGTGGGGACATCGCTGCCCCTTGCAGGTGGCACCGGTGACAGAGGTGACAGAGGTGACAGCGGTGACAGACACTGGTGGCACCGGTGGCACTGGTGGCAGTGACGGTGGCAGGGAGGGGACGGGGGGGGGACATCAGGGGACAGGGGGGGACAGGGGGGACCCCTGGATGGGCGGGGGCAGCAGAGCGGGCGCGGTTTGGATCGAACCCCCCGGGACCGGGACCCACCCCGGTGTCCCCCCGGTGTCCCCACCCGGTGTCCCCATCCGGCCCGTCCCACCGGATTTGGGACTCAATTTCCCCCAAATTCCCCAAATCCCCCAGTTTAGGCCCAAAACTGCTCCGGGAGTGGAGGGGAATTCAGCTTTTCCCATTTTTCCCATTTCCCCCCATTTTTTATCCCATTTCTCCCCATTTTTACCCCAAATTTCCCCCATTTTTACCCTGAATTTCCCCCATTTTTACCCCGAATTTCCCCCATTTTTACCCCGAATTTCCCCCATTTTTTACCCCGATTTTGCCCTATTTTTTCTCATTTTCCCCTCAATTTCTGCCCCATTTTCCCCCATTTTGGTACCGTTTTAACCCAAATTTCCCCCCATTTTCACCTCATTTAAACCTCATTTCTGCCCCATTTTTACCCTCTTTTGCCTTATTTTAATCCAATTTTCCCCTATTTCCCCTCATTTCTGTTCCTTTTTCACCCCATTTTTACCCAATTTTCCCCCCAGTTTCTGCCTCATTTTCCTCCCATTTTCACCCCATTTTTGCCCAATTTCTGCCCCTTTTCCCTTCAAATTTCCCCCCACTTTCCCCCCATTTCCTCCCTTCCCTCCCGATTTTTCCCCTTTCCCAATCCCATGGAAACCCCAAACCCGGAGGGGGATTTCTTTCACAGGGGTTTGAGACAGGAATTTATTTTATTTTTCCCTTCTAAAAGAGCTTTTTTTTCAACACAAAAACTCCCCAAATTCCATTTTTTCCCCTCTGGCACCTTGCAATAACCTCAGATCTGGCCCCAAATATTTCCGAGGTTCCTTTTGGAATTGAGGAGCAGAAAAACGATCTTTGTCCCCCCTAAAACCCTCAATTTTTACTTTTTCCTCCTAATTTCGCAGCCATTTCACTCCATATTTTTAATTATCCCATAACATTTCCTATTAAAAAAATAATATTTAATAATATAAAAATAATACAATTTTGTGAGCCTCTAATTGATTTTTTTAGGGGATGCAAAACCCCCAAAATCCCCAATTTTGCCACGGATTTGTGCAAAAAAAGCAATTTTGCAGACCCCACGCCTCACAGAAAACTCAATTTTGGGGTGAATTTACCCCCTAAAAAATTAATTGTAGAGACACAAAATCTGCTTTTAAAACTTTAAAAAACCCCAAAAAATCCCAAATTCCTTTTTTTCCATTTAGGGTCTTCCCTTCCCCTCCTTTTCCTGGTGAGAAAATCCCCAAAATTTCCTTTTTCACCCGAATTTTGGGGGTTTTGTCGCACAGAGCCCCTTTGTCCCTTTTCCCCCTGGAAAGGTGGGAAGGGG